TGATCCCAGATTGTCTGAGCTTTGGCTAAAGCCAAGGGGAGAAAAGTGCACATGGTTGTAATAAGAATAGCTTTAAGAATTAACAGGGTGTCACCAGATGATAGACTACATGGTATAAATCTTGCTAAAAATTCCACTTCAGAGTTAAAGTATCATTTCCAACTATAATAAAAATTGTTTTCAGTTTTTATATAAAAAGGCATGCTGATATTTAGCTACTCTGCATTTCTTTTCATCTTTTAAAATTATATCTTCCAGTTGCTTGCTGGACAGAAGAAAAGTGCTCCATTTTGGACATTTGAATACTACCAAACTTTTTTTGATGTTGATACCTACCAGGTTTGTAATCTGCCAATGGCACTTATTCAGTGATCTTTAGATTATGCTTTACATTTAGATTGTTTCTTTGTTTTGTTGCAAAATGGTTCCAACATGTTGTTCAGTTGGCAGTATGAACAGTATTATTTAGAGTCCATCATACTGCTTCCCTTTACAGTGGTGCCCCGCAAGACGATGTTAATTTGTGCCATTGAAATCGCTGTCTTGTAAAAACATTGTCTTGCGAAAAGCGTTTCCCCATTGGAATGCATTGAAACCCATTTAATGCGTCCCAATGGGGAAAAATTGTCGTCGTCCAGCGAAAATTGCCCATAGGAAAGCCGCTTTGCAAAGCGCCGATCCGCTGTTTTAAATCTCTGTCTTGGGGAAAACGGGCCCGAAAACACCCGTTTTGTGAAAATCGCCCCAGGGAAGCCATTTTGCAAAGCAGATGATCAGCCGTAAAAATTGTCGTCTTGCGAAAAAATGGTCCACAAAGCACGGACCAAATCGTCATCCAGCGAAATTCCCCCATAGGAATAACTGTTTTGCAAAGCAAAATGGCGGTTGCAAAACCTTGTTGTCATGCGGATTCGTCAATTTGAGGGGTAATCATCTTGCAAGGTACCACTGTACATGTACCTTTACACGATCAGTGATTCCCAACGTTTTTGAGTCGTACCCCCTTTTGTAATAGCCAAGCAACCTGCGTCCCCCTGCCATATTTGCATAAAAATGCATTTTTAATGGGGTAAAGCCATCCCTTCTCGGAAAGTATAGGTTTCTTTCTTCCCCCTGCCCAAAGGGCCTGTTTGTTATACACACACATGCACACTAACTTTAATATCCAACTCTGAAAAGTGTTGGAAATAAGGCAATATGTGACACACACACCCCAGAAAACACTTTGCAACCTCTTGGGGATCATGACCCACAGGTTGGGAAACACTGTACAGTATAGTGTTTCCCAACCTGTGTATGTCTGTGAAGATTCTCCATCATCCAAGTGAGGTTACCTGAAAGTTGAGTCATGGCAACTGGATTTCTTCTGTATTATGTTGAAACATTTCGCTACTCACCCAAGTAGCTTCTTCAGTTTGAGGAGAGTTGGTAGGAGACTCGATATATCCTCCCTGTTGTTTTCACTTCCCCCTAGTCTGAGTAGACTCGTTAGATGGACAGTGGATGGGAGGGTGAGTGAAAATCCCACCTCTGCAGTCCTTCTCCACCCATTGTCATGGGTCGTTAACAGTGGTCTTTCTGGTGGATGTGGTCCTGATATTTCTGGGGACAGATGAAAGGGCAGCATGATAAGTAGGAGACAGATTGTGTCTAAGGCCTCCATCCCTGCTGAGAGAGGGATTTTCTATATGCACATGTATGGCCTCTGTGACCTCTCTCTGAAACCACCTATCTTCTCGGTCCAAAATGAGTAAATCTTGGTCATCAAAAGAGTGTCCTTTGTCCTTCAGATGAAGGAACACTGCTGATTGTGGTCCTGAGCTGTTTCCCCTCCTGTGCTGGACCATTCTCCTGTTTAGTGGCTGTTTGGTTTCTCTAATTTATAGCTCCGAACACTCCTCTTTGCATTGGACCGTATATACTATATTGCTCCTGTTTTGTTTTAGTGTTTGGTCTTTTGAGGGGATGAGTCCCTGCTTTAGTGTGTTTGTGGGTCTGAAGTGCGTGAATATGTGGTATTTACCAAAAGTCCTTTTGAGCTTTTCAGACACACCCGTCATGTAAGGAAGGACCAGGTTCTTCCATCAGCTCTGGGTCTCAGACTGTTCCACTGTCCTGCTGGGTCGAGACATTGCCTTGTGAAAGGTCAATTTTGGATATCCACAGGCCTTAAGGGCTGTCCTCAGATGTCCATCTTCCTTCTTCTTGGCTTCTGTGGAGGTGGGGATGTTTCTTGCTTTGTGGTTCAACATCTTGATGACCCCTAGTTTGTGTTACAATGGGTGATGAGAGTCAAACAGCAGGTATTGATTGCTGTGTATAGGTTTTCTGTAGATTTCTATTCCTAAGCTACCATTGGATCCTATGATGACTGTACAGTCCAGGAAAGCCAGGTGGTTGTCTTTGGTGTCTTCCCTGGTGAACTTGATATTTGTTTATGTGGTCCGTGAAGACCTGTACTTCCTGAATCTTGATCTTCACCCAGGTGTCATCCACATACCTGAACTAATCAATCAGAGTCATCCCCTGGAATATGTTTAGTGCCTTTTCCACTTCTTCCATGTATGTATAAGTTGGCAACCGTGGGCAACACCAGGGAACCCATGGGACAGGCATGTTTCTGTCTGTAAAAGTCCCCTCTGTAGGTGAAGTAAGTGGTGCTCAAGACACAGGTCCAGGAGCAAGCCTGTCTGGTCCGGGTTGAGGATGCGTTTGATAGAGAAGGTGTTGTCTTCTTCTTGTCTCCTTTTTACAGTTGTTAGGGCATTGGGGGTGGGAATGTTGGTTAACAGAGAGAGATGTGACATCAAAGGACACCATGGTTTCATCAGTATTTAGTTTCAGTTCCCTGACCTTGGACACAAACTCCTCTGAGTTGTGAATGTGATGATCCGTGCCCAACCAATGATGCTAAGATGGTGGCCAGGTATTTAGCAATGTTGTATGCTACCAAGTTTATGCTGCTGTCAGTGGGTCTGAGGGGAGCTTCTTCCTTGTGTATCTTGGGAAGTCCATAAAGAAGGGGGGCTCTCCAAGATATAACTGGTGGTAGGTTGCCCTGTTGATGATGTGGTCCTATATGGAAAGATGGAAATGGGCCATTTCTTTTGAAAAGTGTGATTTAGGTCTGTTGCTTTTCTCTGTGTCTTTACATGTTCAGTGTGAGGTGTGAATGCATGTTCAACATGTTTGTGATTCTAACTGCTTCTTGTTTCTATTACAATTTATTTGATATTTGATATTCTGGATTTGTGTACAACTATATAAATTGTTGTCCAGATTGAATAACCTTTACACCATCATTACCATCTCAGTTGACTTGTCTGTCTTGCTATATGTGCTTCTGTCATCAAACTATTCCAATCTAGTTTTTCAAATGGCTGTTTTAGTAGAAAAATAATGGGGAGAGTTGTTTAGTAATACAGTGGTGCCTTGCTTAATGGGTGCCCCGTTTAACGGCAAATCCGCATAGCGATTAAGTTTTTGCAGTTGCAAAAGCGATTGCATTACGATGATTTAGATAGTAAAAAATCGCTTTGCGATGATCGGTAAACTGTTTCGCTTACCGATTTTCGCATAGCGATGTTTTTAGAACAGCTGATCGGTGTTTCCAAAATGGCCGCTGGGTGATTAAAATGGCCACCTGCTGTGTTTTTGCGCCCATTCCTCGCTTACCGGGCAGTGAAAATGGCGGCCGTGTGGAGGATTTTCGCTGAACGGTGAGTTTTTTGCCCATAGGAACGCATTAAACGTGTTTTAATGCATTCCTATGGGCTTTTTTGTTCCGCATAGCAACGAATCCACATAGTGACGATTTTTCCGGAACGGATTATCGTCGCTATGTGGGGCACCACTGTACATAAGTGGGATAGCAGGAGCGTTAGGAGGCCATTCACAGAATTGTAGCAAAGGAGATTGTTGTATTCAGAAAAACATAACACAATCAGTGACCAGTTCAACCATAATAGCCTTGGTCAGAGAAACTGTTTCTTACTCTTCTAGAAATAAATATCTACTGATGCTTCTTTCTTATTCTCCTGTCAACTTCTGCTTAAGAGGAATGGTAGGTTTCCTCAACCACAGTTTTCTATCTGGAAACTTGTGATTTAAGGGGTTCTGCAAATCTGGATATGAAGAAATATCTAATCCTGATTTTATTTCTAGTTAGAAGGGAACACTTAAAACATAATTTCACAGTTCAGATATTATGGAAAACTGTGGTTAGGTATACTAAATTAGTTTTCCTGAGCTTGGGGTGAAAGAGGAAGGAGTGTATGGGCACATTGTATGTTTCCAAGCTCTTAAACCTTGGTTTATCAAACCAAGTGACAACATTGAGCAGAATACTTTTACTTAGCATAGTAAATCACATTAGAATAGACCCATTGAATCAATGGGGAATTTAGGGAGTCCTCTGCAAGTTCCATTGATTCAAATCAACCTACTTTAAGTGACTTGCTTTAGCACAGTAACTTACAATTAGAGTAGGCCCATTTGAATCAATTGAACAAATGAAGGAGTTCTTACTAAATCCCCATTAGTTCACTGGGTCTACTCTAGTGTGATTTACTGTTCTAAGCAACAGGATTTTAGCTATTGAATACTACATTCTTATAATCAAAAGGTATTTAGCACTTTTAATTAAAATCTCAATCAAATGTCCTGTATTACTTTTAATAGGTTTTGGACCGAATTAAAGGTTCTGTTTTTCCAGTACCAGGAAAAAATTTTGTGAGACTGTACATTCGAAGTAATCCAGATCTTTATGGTAAGTACATATTATCATAAAAAATATTTTTCTACTTTTACACGAAATGGAATAATCAGGATAATTTATCTTTCACTTTTGTTCCCATTAAGGTCCATTTTGGATTTGTGCCACATTGGTCTTTGTCATTGCTATCAGTGGTAATCTCTCAAAATTCTTCATCCATGTGGGGAAACCTGCTTTTCATTATGTGCCTGATTTCCAAAAAGGTTCGTATATATTAAAAATCTATTCACCAGCATTGGCCCAAGGTGTTTTGCTTCAGCCATTTTCTGGATGTTCTTATAATCATAGAGAAAATGGCTCCCTCTGACTCTCATTCCATGCAGATTAAGAGTGTAATCCAACCCTTTGCCACCACTCACTGTCCCCTAGAATCTGCTGCCAAAAGTCACTGCATCACTGTGTCTAATGACTGTGCCAGTTCTTTTTTTTTTTAACTCAAAGTGTGTCGGAAATGGTCAGACTGAGAAGTCTTATGATGCATTTCGTATATAACAAAAAATAGCTTGCAACAATAGTTTAAAGCTGTAGGCACAAAAATAGCCACAGTAACTAACTGCATCCTGTTCAGACGCCTCATAAAGAAAAAGAACAGATCTGTTTATATGTTGTGAGGTGGCCATTTCTGTGATGTGACAGACTGATGAAAGTGGTGTGATTCTTTGCACTAACTGGCATCTCTTTCACAGTATCCATAGCTGCAACCGCCATCTATGCTTATGCTTGGCTAGTTCCTCTAGCGCTCTGGGGATTCCTCATGTGGAGAAACAATAAAGTTGTGAACATTGTCTCCTACTCATTTCTTGAGATTGTATGCGTTTATGGCTATTCACTCTTCATTTATATTCCAACTGCGGTAAGTACAGTGTAAATAATTTTTTGGCATATTCATGAAGAGCAAGTGCTGAGTGAGGGGAATATATAAAATAAACAGACCAATACAGCCTTTTGACATTTTGTATGTGAGCCTGAAAAGATTATATTATGTCAAGTGTGGCATACTAAATATTTAAAAAATGTCATTGAGGTTATTACAATTTGATTTGGAGGATTATCCCAAACTGTGGAGTCTAGCATTCATAATTACTTAGTCTATAGTTTGGAAAAGTCAAAATGTGTCTTAGAAAGCTAGAACACTCTGTATCAGATGTGGGGCAGGGCTACAAGATGGAAAGGATAGAAGTACAGATGCATAAATGAAAGGCTACATATGCACCATCAGATTTTGCCCTTTGAATTTGGCTTTACAAATTGAGTTAGAGACACTATGTTTTTAAATGGATTTATTTATTGTCTAAATTCTGGGTGTTAGTTATTCATACAGTACAGTAGGACCCCTTATCCATGGGATCAGGATTTATTTATTGTCTTAATTCTGGGTGTTAGTTATTGATACAGTACATTAGGACCCCCTTATCCATGGGATCGGTATCTGTGGTTACATTTATCCATGTCTTGAAAATTTTAAAAGAAAAAACCCAGAAATACATATTTATTTAAAAGAAAAAACCCAGTAGTACATATTTTCATGATGTAGTTATAAAAACTGGCCACTAGAGGGGGCAGAGACCATACTATGTGTAGGGTTTGCTATTATCCATAGTTTTGGGCCTCCACTGGGGGCTTGGAACTGATCCCATTCAGATACGGGGTTCCTGTACAAACCAAACATAATACTGTATTGCCTTCAGATATGGGGTTCCTGTACAGATACGGGGTACTGTACAAACCAAACATAATACTGTATTGCCATAAAATTGTACTTGGTGAGAACTGGCAATGACGACTTCATTTCCTTTCTTTTTAATTACAGATTTTGTGGATTATTCCACAGAAAGCCCTCAGATGGGTTTTGGTGGTATTTGCTCTGTGTCTTTCAGGATCTGTTTTAGTGATGACATTTTGGCCTGCTGTTAGAGATGACAACCGAAGAATTGCCGTGGCTACTGTTGTGACAGTTGTGCTTCTCAATGCCTTGCTTGCTGTTGGTTGCTTGGTATGACAATTCTGTTTCCCTTTTGCATACAGTTTTTCTTCAATCAGTTGACCTAAGTGACTTGATCTACAGATGCCGAGACTTTTTTTTATAGGGAACAATTGGAAATTTCACAGCAAAAACATATAATCACTTTGCTGTTAAAATACTGAGAGAGATTATCTGACTTGGTGCAAGAAATCTATTACTCATTAACTTAACAGCTTTTTCAGAGGTTCAGCACCCAATACAGGCTCAGGGTGCAAAAGTGATGTGCTGGGTTAATTAAATCCTATGCTGCAAGCACGCTTGGCTTATTCTGCTGCATTTTATTTTTAACAACTTTCAGATAATTACCGGAACCATGTTCTAATTTGTTCTGTGTCTTCCTAGTACTGGTTTTCCTAGATACTGTATGATGCTTCATATAAATACTGTGTCAATCAATACAGAACATAGGTTTATTAAAGCTTATTGTTGCATTATCTTCTTCTTACTCACATAACCAATATATTACGTTTTTAAAAGTACAGGGTGTATAGGAGGCTCATCTTACTCACATAACCAACATGTTACGTTTTTAAAAGTACAGGGTGTATAGGAGGCTCACTTGCAAAAAAACCCCAATGTACTATTCTCCTCCTTTGCTCCCCGGTAATGTAGGCCTACTTTTTTGATGCTCCGGAACTGGATGTACCTCCTACTGTACTTCCACATAATGGAACAAAGGCTTGATAACTGGTAAGATTTTACCGATTTTAAAAAAACAATTTTGGTGTGTTTTCGGAATTGTAATTAATTGCAGATTGAGTACTAATTCCACTCACATCCCTGCTGTTTCTCACAGGGCTACTACAGCTGTACTGGCATCCTCCACAAATTGTCCAGCAGTGTCATATTTGTCTCCTTGTACCTGACAAGTACAAGGTTGCTGAACAATTGTTCTATTTGCTTTTTTCTAAGTGGAAAGCCCTAGCAAGACAGCACCAGCATTAGGAGCTTGGATCAGCTTTGGTAGCCCTGTGAATGTGCCAGCAAAGGGCCTCCTACATCTCTTCCTGTTCTTGAAAAGCCTGTGGTACAGAATGCTGTCTTGGGTAAGAACTTGGCAGGAAAACCTGGATCAGAGACAGGCTCCAGGGACAGCACAGCAGAAGCTTAATGATTCTGTACAGAATTAGACTATGATTTTTTATTAAGACATAATATCAGGCCTAGCACAGGATTTATTACTACCTAGGGCAAAGATAAGAATGCTACTCCAGATTCCATTTGCAGAAATAAAGAGAGCTGGCAGTTTTATATTCAACAAAGGCATTGGGGTTGTGTCTTCCATAGTACTTGAGGGCAGCAGGCTAGTTTATGCTTATAGTTTAGCTGCAGCAGTGGACACAACAGTGTTCTTCAGCACCTTACAAAGCTTTCCACATCTCAACTGTAGCATCTGCTACTTGAAAGGACTACCTCATTATATCTGATGGTAGGAATACCCTGCATAATATTTTTAAGATAATGACTTAATCAAATTAAAGCAGAAATTGAATAGGATGTGGTCTTAATTTCCTTAAGAGGACTTTGCAGAAAGCAATATACAGTGGCTCATATTAAGTATTAATAGGGTATCAATCAGAATAGCTATCCATGTACATGCATAGTGAAGCCCGTTGTACTGCAGTGTTTCTTTATATGTATAATGTGCACCATGCACAAAGAGAGGTCATCTAATCCATAGAGAGACTACTCTATGCCAAAACATCTGGAAAGGCTGTGTTCTTGGTACAACAGAGACTTCAAATATAATGCAAATGTAAGTGCACAGATCTGCTGAATGCCACTAGTATGGTACAAGAGAAACCTGTTTTCCATTCCTAATGGTTCTAGGGTTTAAGAACAGTGCAATTCATTGATTTGGTCAATCACTTCAAGACATAGAAAAAAATCCGAGAGCCCTAGAGATCCAAATCAAAACTGTATTAGGAAAATACATAGGGACATGTATGGGAAGCTCAGTTAAAAATCTAAACGTGTTCCAGGAAAATTAGAATAGTGCCTTTGGTACATATTTTAGTTGTAGCTAATAAGCCAATATGATACGATGCTTCTAGAATTTCTTCTGTAACAATCATGGAATCCTCTCTACGTTTTAAAAAATCCAAACAAATGGTGTAGACCAGGTAGAGCAGATGCAGAACCTGAATTTTCTGCACTGTTTAGCAAACATCCTTCAGCAAGATTAGTCTCTTCCTCCCCAAGTAGTACTGATGAGGGAGGGAAAAATGGGAAGACAGAATGAGAGGGGAATTAAGAGAGGAAAGAGTAGTAGCTCCATGTATTGCTCAGCCCCTCCACTATCGGTGGGTCATCCTCAGCAGACAACCTGCAAGATTCCTCTTCATGTTGCAGAATGTGGTGCATTCTTCTTTATCTGTTTGTACCTTTTAAATACTGTACTAACTACCTGACTTTTCGTCCCCCACCCACCCAGATACATCTGTCTTCATCTGCAATATTGCTTTATTGGAGCTTTCCCATACCAACCAAAAGATCTGAAGGAAGTATCAGTGAAACATCCTGAACTCACAGTATATGAAAACAACATAACTAACCTGTAATGGACTTTAGCTGAAATTCTTCTCTGTCAAAGCAAAAGGAAAATAGGATTTAATTAAGTGGAGCCAATTTCACCTGAAGATTTTGCTGCATCTGATTTATTATTTCTTAATTTTTTTGCGAAACGTACATACCATTTGTCATCAAATAAAACTGATTTGAAATACTATTCCTCTGTGTATTTCTAAATATTTATTTCAAGAACAGTGTTTATTTTGCTTCATGTATAATATAAGCTAGTATGGGCATCTGCAGGAGTCTTTTCACAAGGGCCAAAGTTGTATACGTATTTAAAATAGGAATCTAAATGCAAGTCATAAGCATTTCATAATGAAAGAAAAGCCCTCTTCAACTTGACTTTATTAGTATCTCTTAAAAAAATTCAAAATTAAAAAAGCTGTATGGTTTTTGCATAATCTAAAAGCAAGGGTAGGAGAGACCTTTATTCAGACCACTTAAAACGGCAACAAACAGAAAGTGCCAGCTTTCAATCCCTACAAGTCTTCAGCAGGCTGTGCAGCACTGCACTGTGAAGGGTGCAGCAAAAACATGTGAAGGTTCCAGAAATCATGGCAGATGTCCATGGCAGATCTCTTTCTTAAAAATAAGTTCACAATATCCTGCAAACATGTCAAGAGTGTAGGTTTCAATTTCCCCCTCTGGTGGCCATTGGTAGGATTGTCTCTTCCACCTCACCAAAGGATGATGATGAACATCATCATTTTAGAACTGCCAGATATTCAGTATCCCCTCCCCCATCATCCATCATTGAATAAACCCCTTAAGTGTGTCAACACACCAAAACTAACACATATACTATATACAGTATGTGAATACACTGGAAAATGTTGTCATACTTCCCTCTCCTTCTCTTCCTCTCTGTCTCTTCCTTCATGCAAAGTTCAGTGTAATAATCTTCTAAAATTTTGGTTTGTCTCAGTTTGTTAATATTCTAAATAAATCTGTATTATTTTTAAACTGTAAAAGCTTATCTGGTAATAAGTGATATAATTAACATGGTTGAAGTCTTTAAAAATGAAACTGAACATGTTTTACTTTAAGTGTACTAATAAACAAATTTCTAAGCAATGAAACTATTGTTGTTTATCAACTGCATCCTTGTCATCTTATAAATGGAGAAACAAACCATGTAGTATTATTTTGTCTGTGGCAGATTATTTAAAGATTATTTCAGTTTTAAAAATTTCAAACACAAGCAATTTTATTTTTATATCAAACACCCCAGTGACCAACTCAGATCACATTATGAGCCAGAAATGTGATGCTGCATAAAAGCTTATCATAAAAATCACTGGATGGTATTGTAGAGTTGAATGACTCCTGAATTTGGATTCAGATCCTAACTTAGTCATGACCAAGTCATTGTGAGTCCAGTTCACTTTGCACAGCTTTTATAGAGACATAAAGGAAATCCTATATATGTCCTGTTTGTGTTCATGGAAAGATAGCATGAAACCAATAAGATTACAATACTGAATACCTGATGGCATGGCATGTCGAACTTAATTTACTTGGATTTTCTTTCATAGATGATGTCAAAGTATGAAGCAGTACACAGTAGAAACCTTGCGCAGCTTATCTGCAGCAAAGATTCCTCTGGATTCTGATCCCAGAACAGATAACATAAGTCTGATATATTGAAAATGATTAACTATTTCATTTACAGTAACTTTCTGTTGATGGGTTTAAGATTATTTCAGAGTAAACAACTGGCCACAGTTTACGCCCTTTTATGAACCAATAGCAGAGGTCACGTAGCTGTATGTAGTAACTAACCATGCCTATTACTGTAATTTATTAACCTGTCCTGCCTCTCTCTGTTTTGTATCTAACCTCACTGCTGGAGTTCTGTTTTGCAGAATGTAGGAGCTTCTCATTCTGCCAAGATGTTTAAAATCAGAAGATTTGTACAAAAAGCCTGGATTCTTTTGCAAGTGTGTCTATGTACTGCTGTTGGTAAAATTCTTATGATCTTGTTCCCAGATACAATAAAAAGATATATCTTGAAACAAGGGGAGAAGAGCGGCATAGGGACAAACCCTAATTTTGTCTATGAAAACTGGGGTCCAAGCTTCTTCAGCTTGCAATACTTACTCTTTGTCTTGAAAGTCAAGTGGAAAAGGCTGGAAGATGAAGCGTTTCAAGGTTGCCCTGCTCCCAACACCCCTGTAGTCGATTTTGGAGGAAAAATTCATCACATCCTGGACTTCATGCAAGGCAAGTAAAAACTATGGTATGAATTTTTGAGGGATTAGCTATCTGTTAAAATAACTGTGATTTGGACGACCACTTTAAAACATCGTCTCCTTCTGGAATAGTAGCTCATTGTGATGTTGCATCATATTGTAGTTGGGAGTGGGTCTGATCCAACAATTGGTTACAAACCGTTTAAATAATTCACTATAAAATTGTGAGGAGGTGGTCAATGTTTCTTCTTCGTATGAATGATTTGGGCAGAGATGACCAAACATATTCATGTTGCTTTCTCACATAATTATCTACTCCTAGCTAGGTCTATAAGGAAGGCAAAGGGGCAAACTTTTAAGAGTCTGAAAGGAAGCAACAGTATGTTGATGTTCCCAGCACCAATGTGTTCAACATGATAAATATATAAAGGATTGCCATCTAAACTTTAGGTCTTTTCACAATATATCTGGGAAAAGAAGCATCAAAAGGCACAGACAGGTAAGAGGTAGAGTTTCCTGTAGCTCCAGGCAGTCTAAAGCTTTTGCCAGGAGAAATCAACACAAACTGTCTTTTCAAACATTCTCTTAAATCATTAAACTGCATTTTTAATAAGTAAAACTGTTACCTTTAAAACACACAGAGAGACAGTTCTTAAATTGGAACACATGCATAAACACTCAAAACAGACCTTATATATTTAAAGATATATTCATGTAGTCATCCTGCTAAATATGCAATGTAAGATATTTCATAGGCAGTTGTGACAAGTGTGAAGAAAATAAGAACGCATTGATTTCAGGACTGGGTACAATATTTGCCCCCAACTTTTATAGCTTTAATCATTTTAGTTAAAACTAAAACGAATCTCCAGCAGTAAAAGCATGGGAATGAGTCTGAGTCATGGCCAGAAGGAAGCACAGCAACAGTGGGTGGGAAGCTTTTTTGTTTTAAACCCCCTTAGCTGTAGCATGAAACTACTGACTCTGCAGCAATAGCTGGGAATCAGAATATCTCTACAGCCATGACAAGGAAGGGTGAGAAAGAAGCAGAAGAGAGCCATGTTGGGTGCGGCTACATTGGAAAGCTACCGCTCAGCAGCAATAGCTGGGAATCAGAGAGGCCACCAGAATATCTTTACAGCCATGACAAGGAAGGGTGAGAAAAAAGCAGAAGAGAACCATGTTGGGTGCGGCTACATTGGAAAGCTAAAATAGAATGATTTGACTTTGCTGCAATTTGATTCACAGCCTTTATTATGTCTGAAATTGTAATCAGTGCTCACACTGAGCTTTCAAATGGAATTGGAAGTTAATCTCCTACACCAAAAATTCAACACATGGCCAACTCCAAGCATTTTTCTCCCCCTACTGTACTCTTTTTCTGCCTCTCCCCACTCCAACCTCAGTTGGCCTCCGTATCTGACACCTCTTTCCTTTCATACCAGTGTTCCACAAACCCCTCTCTCTGCTTCTTCCTCATAGTGATCCACCCCTACACTTAATGACACCCGCTCCACTATCTTTCCCTTCTTCCTCTTCCTCATAGTGATCCACCCCTGCACTTAATGACACCCGCTCCACTATCTTTCACACTCCCCTCAGACAAAAACACACATGTGCATGCTATCAATACAGCCCAGCCGAATGTGCATGCAGGCAATGAAGAGGTTGGTTAGGTGCCTTCCTACACAATAAAGGTGGCAAAGACCCTGAGTGTTGTGGTGGCTCTTTTCCTCTGTCCTCCCTTATTCCTCCCTTCCCCCCCTCTCTCTCTTACACACACACAAACACACCACACTCTCCGCTGTCTTTCATTGCCCCCCTCTCTCGCGCTCCCTCTCTCTCTTTTTGAGACTGGTTCTTCTTCTGTTCTGCCCTCTCCTCCTCCTTTACAGACACATCCTCCATCTTTATACATAACCGCCCAAAAAACAAGCTCTTTAGAATCCTTCTGGCAAGAAAAAAGGAGAGGCCTTCAGGCAGGAGAGAAAAAAGTTGCTTTGTCAGAAAAAAAGTGCTGGATGGATTCGAATCAGCACTTGTGTCATGAAGGCAGCAAAATAAATGCTTTGAATTCACCCATTTTATAAGCGGAACAAATCCTGAGGTATTTTATGATGTAATCAGGAGCTTAGACAGATAAATGAGGCTGACAGAATGTGAAACATTTATTACACAATTTATAGAAACAGAATCTTATTAATGCAAGGGACATAAGATTATTCTTAATCTCTCTCCTTCTTTGCATGATGATATTTGTTTGTTTGTGTCCATCTAATGGCAAAGCACTACTCTGGGTGGCTTACAACAATACAAATGTTTTAAACATTATCTATGGTGCCATTGGTTTTTATGCTGTTTTAATCTTGTTTATTGTCTGTTTAATATACATTTTAATTTGTTATTAAACAATCCAGAATAGTGCACCTGCACGAACTGGGTGGTATATAAACTAACTAATTAACTAAATAGCAAAACATAAATTAAAACAACAAACAGAAAAAAGAAAATCCCAACCCAATAATACCATCTGTATCTAAAGGATACCAAACTAGCTCCAAATATGGTGGCAACAAAATATTGCCTGAACCCTGATTGAAATGAATCAGGTCTATCAGTGTCTTCCAGGAATGTTTGCAACTGATCAATTTGCCCGTGAACAGTATATTGGAGACAGGACAATAGCTGTTTAAGTAATCTGTTGCTAGATTGGCTTTTTAAATAATGGGTCAGATCATTGTCCCCTTCAGGCAGGAGGACATATATCCCTCCCGCAAGGAACTGTTCATGATCTGGGTGGACCATTCCACTGTCACTGGACAATTTTGAAAGTCAGAAAGGATTGGCCATGATGTGGTAGCCTTAGAGTATGCAAGCACCTTCTCCATGTCATCAGACATCACAGGCTGAAATTGATCCAGTATAACTGGACAAGACAGGGATTTGGACATCTCAATATGACTTACTGTCATATTTAATTTATATTTCATTTCTACTTTTAACCAGAAGCCACTGTTTTAAAGTGGGTGGGGATGCAGAAAAATATTAAGCAAACACTCGAAGTTCCTCAATATTCTTGATTAAGAATTGTCCACTCTTGATTTACCAACTGCTCTTTGCAGGCACTTACTGCTGTACTGAATTAATGTCTTCTTATCAGACTAAAGAAATAATTATTTATTAACTTTTTGTTTTGTTACAGGGAAACAACCTACAGTTTGAATGATGCATGAACAATAAGAGTGTTGCAGGAGAGGGGGAAAAAGATGCAGATCAGCAACAAAGTTGATTGATTGAACAGTCTGTAGATCCATGCTATAAGAATTACGTACATGGTACAATTTGTAGTCCGTGGCATCTAGAAAGTGTCAGGTTAGGGAAGACAAATACGAAAGGAGTAAATCTGAATTAGAACAAAACAAAATGCCACTGGTGGAACAAAGTCAAACAAAGTAACAAAGATGTTGCTGTTTTAGACTGTGCTAAACTTGTGGCACCAGTGGATTGTAATCCATGAACCTCACATCAACATAAATCTAGCCAATGGTTTTGTTAATTTGTTGAAGCAAAAGAGAAATTTTTGTACAACCTTTAAGACTAGTTTTTTTCATAAGCTTTGTATGTCCAAGTACACATTGTCAATTCTCACACTGAAATAAACGTTAGCTTTAAAGGTGTCACAGGCCTTTTTGTTATGCACACAGTAATGTGCCATTTTATTCACGAATTTCCTTTAAAACTAATTAATAACATTGGCCATTATCCTCTTGGGGATTTCTGTGCATGCCAACTGAAAGATGCAACTAACTTTATGCAAGCGGTTACACTTTCTGACAAATCGCTTGTTTTGTGACTGTGCAACAAGTCATACAACCAGTTGTGCAACAGAATGTCTGCATGCAAATCCCTCACAGGATACTGGCCTAATGGTTGACTTAGTGAATTAAAAACATGGTCTGCAAATGTTAATCCAAAACAAATTAGGTCTTTTAGACCCTCTAACTAAAATCTTAACTGAGCTTTAAGTTTTAAAATTTCAATCTCTGACAGTACAGTTTTAGGTACCTATGTGGAAGGAGATTTGCCAGACTTCACTAAAAAGCTGTGATCCTAATAATACTTTATGTCTCTTCCAGAAAACAGGCCTTTGGTTCTAACATTTGGAAGCTGTACCTGACCTTCATTTATGTTCAAATTTGGCGAGTTGAAGAGGCTTGTTGAAGACTTCAAATCTGTAGCAGATTTCCTTGTGATTTATGTTGAAGAAGCCCATGCCTCAGGTAAAACCTGGTTGCTGTTATCTGTGTAGAACATCTAAAATATAAACTACTGTACTCTAAAATATGGTGTTAATTTAGCAGGAAGAAGTATTAATCAGTTTCTGACATTTATATCCTTCTAACCGCAATGTGGGAAATTGAAATGAATGGTTTTTAAAAGAAAGAATTAAATGCTCCCTTTTATAAATGAAACCAATTTTGGATTAAATACAATCCCTTGCTTAATACTCACTAAGAACTTTGTACTCTAATAGTGCTTAACATTCTCTAATCCTGGAGAATCATTGCCTGAATTTCCAGTGTTCAGTCAATGAATGCCAAAATGGTATCCCACCCCCCCAATGAATTGGTATCAATAGGCTTGAAGATGAAGAACCCCCTAAAAACAAAAGCTTTTAAAAAATACAAAAATTCAGAATGTTATCTGTCTATTGGAAATTTAAGAAGTAGAAAATAGAAATAGAATGGAACAGGTGGAATCCTGATAAGGGAATATGCCACATTGTAGCTTGTACTAATTAATATCACTATGAACAGATGCTACGTATGTCATTAGCCTAATCTTGCTGCTTCTTTCAGACAAGTGGGCCTTCAAGAACAATATTGTTATCCAAAGTCACAGAACTCTCCAAGATCGTGTCCGGGCTGCACAAGTCCTATTAAAAGAGCGTCCCTTATGTCCAGTGGTTTTGGACACGATGGAAAACTTGAGCAGCTCTAAATATGCAGCACTTCCAGAAAGACTTTACGTGCTTCAAAGAGGAAAGGTTGTCTATAAGGTAACAAAATGTTAGCAGTTTGGTGAAATCCTTGCAATAAAGGTACACTGTATGGCAGTGATTAGAGTAACTTCAGTATCTTGGATCCTACTGTTTATACAGAATAAATTTGTATACCCTGGTATGACTTAATCTTTCCCATTTATTTTCAAATATGAAGATTGCTCCAGTAGCATTTTCTTCTTGTAAGTTAATGTCTCTCTGCCTTGACTAAACAATCTTCTTGAATACCCCACCCTGCTTGTAAGCTTGATTAATGTTAGTGAAACTATGCCAGTAGGTTCATCAATAGGACAATATTCTTCTTAAACCAGCAGTGACATAGATTCTGCTGCTCTAGCAAATTCCACCATCCTGCTTCCCAATGTACCACTATGGCTTTGCCTTGTGCTGCATTCGTTTCTGTCGGGGCGCATTAAATAAAAATATGTGTGAGAAAGTTTGTAATCAGCTGTGAAGGATTGCAGTTCTGAACTGAGAAGAAGGAAAAGAGAAAGCTGAAACCTTTTAAAACTTAAAATGCTGCCAACCAGCTACTTTCCCTCTTTCCTGTGTGAGAATCTATTTGCTTGCCTGCAAGAGTAAACTTGCACCTGGGACCTTGAGGAAATAGCTCCAAGGACAATCTGGAGCAGAAGAATAGCAAAGAGAATAAATAAAATTGTTTGCATGCTTGGAACCATGACTTCCAAAGTTTATTTTTAAAACGCAATCTAGACTGCTGGTGCACAGTTACATGCAATTGCCCATAGACCTCCTTTTTCCCTTCAACTTCCAGAAGAGGGAAAAATATATATCGACTCACCTGCTGGAGAAAATTTAATGTTTCGGGCACTGCAAATTATTTAAAATGTAAATATTCACATCTAAAGTTATGAATTCAAATTACAAGATAGGAATTTTTGACTGAATATTAGGGGGAACTTTGTGACAGTAAGAACTCTTCAGTAATGGAATGAACTGTCTCAGAAGGTGGTGGGCTCTTTCATCTGGATGGTCACCCATGAGGCATGCTTTGACAATGCATTTCCTGCTTTAGCAGAGATCAGACTTGAAGACTTCTGTAATTTCCAATCACCCATACCATTCCATGATGACTTGGTAGTTATCAGATACCATGTTTTGTCAAATGAAATGGTTGGATGAAGCATGAGACCATTTAGCCACCTCTCTTACCCTTCCTTCTTGGTCTTTTGCCTGCATGCTGTATCCTCTTCTCAGAAATGGCTGAACAAAACAATGCATTTGTTTTGTTTCACAGGGTGGAGTGGGACCTTGGAATTATTGTCCACAAGAAGTACGTGAAGTTTTGGAAGAGCTAATTTAAATCCTTGAACACAGCTACCGATGATCCTATATATAAACAACATAATCTACAATCTGCTGATTAATTATTTTACGGTATTAATATTTCTTTGGAAAAACTTGGACACTTTCTTCAAGGATAAAGGCCCACTCATTTGAGAACTGGCACACTCTCAATTGAGAATTTAGCAGTTGCTACTCCTCCATAAAAGTACAGCAGGAAGAATAAATTAAGCATTTGACAGGGGAACTTAGCTTTGGTTACCTGCAAATATCACTAGCTATTGTTTTGCCTAGCAATATGTGCAAACAACTTCAAAACAGCAATTTGACTGCATAGGGATTGTCCCATTGAGCAAGCACTGTACCGCTCCAATGTTATTCTTCCACAATAAAGTACAACAAGCTATGGCATTGTGAGGGCTAGTATGACAGAAATGCCCCAAAGGACACAACAGTTTGCTTTACAGAAGCGTTTCCCACGTGAAGTAGCCTCTATACTGCTGAACATGAGAACTGCTCTCATACTAATTGGTAATGATAGCCAGCTATGTAAAATGCATATTTTCCACAGACTGCAGTTGCCTGCCACCATAACAGGGACTGCCAAGCCATTTGGATTTGCCACATATTCTGTACAGAAGCAGCATTTGTAAAGAACCAGGATAATGGGATGTTGGGGGAAGAGTTCAGCTTCTCTGGGCCTTGTGTGGCCCAGGGAAGCTGCAGCTCCAAGTGCATGAAGGCACTTGATCAGATTTTGCATACAGTATATAATTATCCCTATCTTGCTCTTTGTATGCACTGGTGTACGTGTAGTTACTGCATCATGCCCTGCACACATAGTGGGCAACAGCATAATCAAGTCTAATATTCACTGGCAGAAACAAAGCTTTGTGAACTGAAGCACTACAGTCGCTGGTTTAGTTTTGTTTCTATCTGTATTTCTTTATGACAGTCATAGTTTAAAACATGGAAGGCTATGACCTGATTTGGAAAAAAAATACAGTATTTATAGAAACAAGATGCTAAACTATATTAAACTATGTCAAAATATCTCTCTGTTTCAACTTGTTTTTTTAAGTAATTTTTTGGATTTGTAGGCTGTTATCTCAACAGAACTGCAGTCACTACAGAATGCTGATGGGCAGTGGTGATAGAACGCATTTCTGAACACGTAAAGGGGAAAACTAATTAAATATCTACTTTTGTGATGTAAGGTTTTGGGAAAATCTATCACAGAACATCTTGGAGATTCTTGTGTAACAACGCTGTTGATATGAGAATATGCTTGAAAGTTCATCCAGATCAGACTGATACACGCTCAGGTACCCTGGATCAAACAATACAATTTTGGAATCATCTGTAGGGATGGGACTTTTGAAATTTTTTGACTACAACATGTCAAAGTCTGCTAAAGCTGACCCTGAAAAAAATCTGGCAGCTTTAGCTCTAAAAGGTGGTTAATATAACTTACAGTTGCTGCATAAATGAAGAAAGTTCTTTCTATATTTAAGTTTCAAGTCTGCCCAATGCAGAAAGAGCTGGCTAGGTGAGGCGAAGCTCTATGGTACTGCAAAGCATTAGGGGCATTGTAGTCTACTTGCCACTTATGCTCCAATACAGGGTGTTGCAGAGTTTTTGAATTTCTGGTAAAATTATCTTTTGCTACACAACAGTACAGAGATGAACAGAGGAGGATAGCTACAATTTTCCCAGAATCCACACCTTTCTCATTAATTGGCACTTGAAGTCTCAATTAACTCATTCTCAGACATTTGTCTTAGACAGGAAGGCCTGGCGTGCTCTGGTCCATGGGGTCACGAAGAGTCGGACACGACTTAACGACTAAACAACAATGAAAACATGCAGGAGAAAGAATAATTTTTAATGTGTATACCAACGAAAACATATGTAGGAGAAAGAATAATTTTTAATGTGTATACTGCTTTATTTACTGGACACAAAGTAGCAACCAACTGAACAGACCAACAGCGACAAACAACTGCCACCAACTGACAAAAGATAGGGATAGAATATGCAGCAGAGAGGTAGAGGCTCTCTTTGTATTTCCAGAGCTGCAAGGAAGAACAGATTAGTGCTGCACAGCATATGTAGGAGAAAGAATAATTTTTAATGTGTATACTGCTTTATTTACTGGACACAAAGTAGCAACCAACTGAACAGACCAACAGCGACAAACAACTGCCACCAACTGACAAAAGATAGGGATAGAATATGCAGCAGAGAGGTAGAGGCTCTCTTTGTATTTCCAGAGCTGCAAGGAAGAACAGATTAGTGCTGCACAGATAATCATCTTAGCCAGAAAAGTCTCTACAAGCCATTCAACTGGAGACAGCATGTGAAGCTTAAATAAAACTACACAGGGTATTCTAAAAAAACTACTGTACAATACTTATAAATGCTCTGCAGGTCCACAGAGTTTTGCTCTGCTCAACACTTCCTTCTTCTTTGGAGAGCCTTCAAACTCAGAAATTGAGGGATGTTTTATCATTTATGTAGCAACTGTTGAAATGGGGTGGGGGTAGGGCTAAAGCCTCCAGAATTCTGCCTGGGCAATTCCAGTAAATTTCTGGATGTTGTTCTCCAAAAAATTACAAAAGGCCCATCCCTAATGTGTCCACTTCATGTTCTTAATTTTCAGCAAGTAATGTTTCAGTTAATAATACATATTAATGATCTGCCTTCTTAGGGGGAATAAGTGATATCAGCCAGGATGCAAAAATGTATTTAGACATATCCAAGTGTTGAAAGTAACCTGTGAGATTTTTTGTGTGTTTGCTTTTGAACAGTTCTATTCATTAGTATATGCAAACTTTGAAAGATTTTGAAAAAAAATCAACAAAAATATACCAAAAAAACACACACTTTTTTAATGCATGGATTATATATTGCAAATATCAATATAATGTTATTACTATGTAGCAATCAGAACATTAAGTTTGGTTTTAAATATCTTCTGCTATTCCTTCTGCTATCACCCTATGAACTGATACAAAAGCATCAAAAGCAGACAAAATTATGAATCGTAAGTACGTAGCCTGGATCTCAGGAAGCTGTAAAAAACCCACAAAAATGAATTAATTATGTTATAGAACTATGGAGCAATTCAGCAAAGTGAAACATACTAAAGAGCCATTAATTTCAGTGGAAGAGATTTAAGCATACTTTTGGTACTGAAATCAATGAGCATGGCAACTTTTCTACAGTGGTGCCTCGCTAAACGATGATAATCCGTTCCACTGAAATCGCTGTTTAGCGAAATCATTGTCTAGCGAAAAGCATTTCCCCATTGGAATGCATTGAAACCTGTTTAATACGTTCCTATGGGGAAAAATCGTCATTGTCTAGTGAAGATCAGCCATAGGAAAGTCGCTTTGTGAACCGCTGATCAGCTGTTTAAATCGCTGTCTTGCGAAGCTTAGGTCCCGAAAACACCTGTTTGCGAGCGCGGAGGGAGCTGTCAAAATCGTTGTCTAGCGAAAATCAGTTTGCGAAGCAGGAACCAAATTCCCCCATAGGAATCACTGTTTTGCGAATCACTATAGCGATCACAAAAAGTCAATGTCTAGCGAAAAAACTGTCATGTAACTGTCTAGCGAGGCACCACTGTATTTAGTTTGATCCATTCAGTGCAGCAAATAGGTAAATTTGATACTATGAACACAAAATCACTTCTCCAGTTTTTTTTTTTTTTTTGGTAAATTGGGATAAAACTTTTGCCAACCTTCTTTTAAAAATATTAACTTGGCAAAGTCAAGAATCTCTCATCCCCCAACCCATTCTCTGTTCTTTGAATATATTTCATTGATACTACACTCACAGAAAACTCTTCGGTCTGAAGCTCTCCTTCTTTACATTGCAGCTCTAGATGTTAAAACAAAAGTTAATATATAGTAAGCTATTCGGTTTTTAATTTTTAATTTTTAAAAAAATCAGCTACAGTACTCACATAATAATGTACCCAGAGTTTTAGCCAGGAAAAGGAGGCAGGAATGGGTCAAGTGCAGCTTACAACATGCTCTTGGACTACAGCTTCCATCACTCCAACCAGGAGAGTCAATGGTAAGGATTGCTGGGTGTTCAATTCAACATCTGGAGGACCATAATTTGCCCACCCTGGTTTAAGGCACGACACCCAAGGCCCTTTTTGCGTGTCTCCACAGGTGAAATCAGGCACAAAGCAACTCAGGACACGGTCTTCTTGCAGAAATATGTATGGATTGTTCTCTTCTTTTAAGTACAGGAGGCACCAACATGTCTCCCATTTAGCAGACAAGTTAAAACATATTTGCTCACCAAGGCCTTTTATGGCTTGTATGTCACTGAATTCTAGAATTTGGCAGCTGTATCCACACAGTACACTGTAATTTGTACAATATTTTTCCTAAAGGCTCAAAGCACTTGAAATACATTATCTGAATAACTATAGATCTATAGAATATTGATATAGTCTATAGAACATAGATTATAACAGAACACTATTATAAAGAGTGTTCAATTGTTAAGATAATGGACAAAGAACAAATGGCAGACTGGCTTACTAGACAGATAGCCTACCTCTTAGTTCCTTATACTCCAGATTAAATTCTGCTATAATCTGAGTACTACTGATCTTTACAGCTCAATCCTATGTATGCGCACTGATTCTGACCGAATTCAGCAAGAATTTGTAATGGTACACAGGACTGCAGTCTTCATTTATGTGTACATGTCATGTTCATCTGATTAAACAAAACTAGATTAAATATAATTACCTTTTTCAATGCATTCTTCAAAATCCACTGGATCCTTAGACACACTTTTTTCAATCCGTAACGTCTGCACTAAACACATCATTTAAAAAAATGTTTGTCAAGTTTGCCTAGTTCCTCATTAATCTTTAAACAACAAACAAAACAGTATTTACACTTTGCACAATAATATTAATGCACAGTCATTCATTAGATTAATTTTGTTTTACATAACGTATTAGTTATAGAAATGAGCTAGCCAGAGACAAATCGAGGCAGCCATCATTCTGTGATCAGCTTCCAAATGTAAAAAAATCCATATTCTGCATTTCATCTTTTTTTGTTTCACACACAAACTGGCATCCAGATACACTGAAATGCATACCAGATTCAAAATTCTATTCTGTATTGTAGGGTTTTTTCATATGCATTCAAGGAAATTTGACACAACATGCAACAGGCAAAAAAACCCCCCTGTAATTTAAAAATAAAGCAAACATGCTCACAAGTGCATTACAAACGGTACCCCTTGATAACATGAGTTGTAGAAAAAAATAACACATTTGGCTAATTACTCATAAACAGGAAAAGATTGCAAGTGTTTTCAATCAGGGAGTACATTAAATGCCAGCTAAAGTATGGAAATGAGCTCTAATTTTTCCAAGTGCTATTAATATGTAAATGTTTCTTCATTTTAGGAAGCATAGTTGGCTATATTCTAGAAGTGTAAATAAAAAACAGTATATATTACTGCACAATACCTAGTTATATACAGTATAGTGTAATTTACCTAAGTAACACTGGATTGTAAGTTTGCTGATGGTTACACATTTAGGAAAAGAAATAATGAATTCCTGGGGAAACATTCCAGTTGTTGTCCAAAAGGTTTCAGATCGTCTGTTAAAAGAGAGTAAAATATGTGAATGGAAGACATTAGACTTATATTGCACATTTCTGAAAGTCCAGGATAGGCAGAAGCCTCTTCTGATAGCAGAAATTCCCTTACGTTGGCAGAATGGCCCTTGTGCAGCTGGCTTCAGAGATCTGCTATCAGAATTGCTCTGCTGGTTAAGATCTGTTTCAACAGAAGAACCCAAAAAAGGGGGGTAGAGAAGGGAAAGAGCAAGGGAAGAGCCTCCAATCAAATCTCCTCCAATCAAAAGGTGCAGCATAAAAATAAGGCCAAGGTGAAGGTAGTCCAACATCTCATGATGATTTGGGATTCAGTAGAACTTCAGCTGGTTTAGCATTGTTTCAGCTGGCCCTCTGCCATATTGGCTATTTAGGATTGCCCTCTGTTAGTCAAATAAATCAATTGTGTGTGTGATTACTTTGAAGCAGTTTACCATACAGGTGTACAGTATCAGTATACTGATTAATAACCAAAACCTGTACCTTTCTATCCACAAAAGTGACTAATAGCGTTTATGTGTATATACAGTAGTGACTAATAACCCAATCTCATCCTTTCCATTCATTCCTTCTTTGGGTAATGGGTCTTACTCCTAAAAATGTGGGCATAGGCTCACAATCTTAGCCTGCAATGGCAACATCCGTGAAATTATTTCCAAGTAAACATGGTTAGGCAGCTATAAAAGTATGAATTCCGAAATGGAAAATGCCTAGTTTGAGTATACCCACATACAAACAGTAGGTCCTCAGACTGCTACAGGATGAATACGTACAATATGTTGCTAAGTAAATCATTGGCTATGTATTTTGATTTGTTTCTTTTATTTTGCTGTAAACCGCCCAGAATAGTGCATGCATGACTGAGGCGCTATAATAAATTTAATCAATCAATCCTATCTGCAGCACAGAAATACGAATTTGAAAGCAAAGCTTTACATACCCCCCCCCAAACGATTGGGCTCGGCACTTACCCATCAATGATATTTTCTGGGGGGTATTTTTCATCACTCGATGTTGCTAGAATAACATCGGCTCCTTCCGAGCGGAGACAAGGATCGGTAAACTTCATTCTCCTCCGTCTCCATCAAGAGTTGTCCCGAAGGCCCTCTTCCAAAAACATCGATTGTCGACGTTGTTCGGTTGCCTAGCAGCCCATTTCGATGCTGAAAGCGAAAGCAGGAAGGGGAGCGATCATCCAGGCCTTTTACAATCCCATGGCCTCGAAATACGACTTCCGGGTTGCCTCAGTCGCTAATTCTTTCTTTTTCTCTCTCCTCTGCGGAGCCCTATCTGGTAACTGGCTAATGATGTTTTACCTCCTTTGCCCCAGAGGACAAAGGAGAAGCACACATGGAGAGTGGGGGGAAATCATGCTTTTTCTAACTCAGTAGAATCCCGTGTATGAAATCTTATTCTGTACATGGGTAACTGTTCCAGGTTATACTAGTCCATTGTGATCGGTTTAGGGCAATTCCTCCCCTACAGTAAGGCTTTTGCAAAGGAATCCTGTCCCCAGAGCCCTGAACATTTCCCTTTTCCCCTGCATTATTGAATGCAACCTTCCATGTGGGTCCTTTATTTACGTAGTTTCTCTCTGACACGCTGAGATTATATTTCCCTAACAGCGCAACCTGAGGCAATTTAATCTTCATTTCAGTTCAATGTGTGACTTATTCCTCGGTAAGGAGGTCCAGCAGAGGGGGAAGGAATGCATCGACCTCCCACGGAGAGAGAGACCTCTTTCTGCAAGGCCGCCGGATCCCCGTCCTGGGAGCAGCGGCCTGCAAGCTGCCTAGCAATGCAAAATAAGCAGAAATGATACCGCGAGAAATAGGAACACTGGGCGGCGTGCGTAGACGACTCTACTTTTTCTATCTCTTTGGTTGTCTCCCGGGGCGCGCGCGCGCGCGCCTTGCCCTTGCAGCTTTTTGGCTCCGAACCGGCTAACCAAGAGAATTGCCCCGCGGCGGCTGCCTCCTCGCTAGAGGGTCCAGGGTGAAAGCGGTGGCGCGGCGTAGGTGCATTACTATAGGTTCGTCAGTCTCCAAATGCTGTGATTGATTTCTGCCCTCTTCGAGGTCAGGTGAGCTCCAGAAGGTTTGGTCATCTGGAAACCTTTACACAAGAGGAGGTCAGGGTTACTGCTGTGTTTCCCTATTGCACACGAAGGCAGACTTCCTTGCATATTAACAACTGGATTTCCAAAACGGCCACGTTGCTGACGGTCTGGCTTTTGCACTGGTTGTCTTTCGCTCGCTGTATCCCCCTAGAAGCAAGACTTCAGTGGCGCAAGACTTCAGTAAGGGAGTACTACAGGACTGCAGTCTCTACTGCTGGAACCTGTATGGAAACAGACAGTAAACTTTCAATGGGTGTGGGAGTCTCTAGACGCTTCGTGCCAGTGTGGGGAGTAGAGATTAGTTCGAGATTGTGGTTCTCTCAGGCTCCTTATCTGGCTGTATTCTGTGCCCCTTGAGTTGTGGATTAGAAAAATGGAGGTGGAAGCTGGCCTCAGCCACACTTTTCTCCCAATAAGAATGGAAGAACATTTGTGTGTAAGAATATGCCTCCTCCTCTGTTTGAGGAACTGGCATTAAAAATTCTGGATTATTTTTAGGCATTTAAACTAGCAACAACAGCAGGTTATAAAAGTAGGAAAAGCAACTTGTTTTGAAACAGCCTTTTATATATGACAGTGTCAAGGGGCGTGGTGGCACTGCGGGTTAAACCACAGAAGCTTCTGTGCTTCAGGGTCGGAAGACCAGCAGTCGTAAGATCGAATCCACGTGACAGAGTGAGCTCCCATTGCTTTGTCCCAGCTCCTGCCAACCTAGCAGTTTGAAAGCATGCAAATACCAGTAGATAAATAGGTACCACCACGGTGGGAAGGTAACGGTGTTCCCTGTCTAGTTGCGCTGGCCACATGACCACAGAAAACTGTCTTCGGATAAACGCTGGCTCTGTGGCTTGGAGATAGGGATGAGCACTGTGTCCTAGAGCCGGACACGACGACTAAATGTCAAGGGGAACCAAGACATGTGTCAAAGGTTTTCTTTTGTTTCCCTAAAGGAAGGAGATTTATCTCAAGCATCCAATCAACCACTGGGAACTTGTGTAAATTGGCATACGTCTGACTGTAGGCAGTACAAGAGATGACTTCCCAGATTAAATCTTCATGTATTTGTTTTATGTTTTACTTTGTTTCCCCAGAAATTTTTAAAGAGGAATGTCAAGCTATCTCCATGTAGAAAATATTCCTGATACAGGGTCAATATATGTTAGGGAAGATGGCCATCTGTATAAAGTGAATGAAAATGCTTCGGCAGGAGTAAATAGTGCATCGAATCCAAGGCCTTCAAGACTGTTCTCCAAAGGATTCTCTGTTGAGCTTTGCATGAACAGGGAAAATGACAATGGAAGAACGGATCATTTCATCTTCACTTGCACAAAGGAGGGAAATTTGCGATACTCTGTTAAATCTCTCTTCAGCATAGTCTTGAGTTATGTTGCTGACAACATTAATCACGTGGATTCATTGAATGGCTTTCCAGAACAGATAGCAGAAAAACTTTTCTGTGCTGCAAATACTAGACAGAAATTTGCAGAACCAAGAACAGGACTCAGTGCTTTGCAAAAATTTATTGATGCTTATGGAAATTTAGTGCTCCGAACACTATGTTTGAACAATTGGTAAGCATAAATCAATCACCTGTTTGTAGTAGCCTTTTTGCATGCCAATTCGGGGGAAATGTATCCACTAATTACTATGGTAGTAAGTCAGGATACACACTACCTAAAGTTAACTAAGATGGAATAAAGCAAGTAAAATATGCTGAGTGTCCTGTGGCTCTTTGTTGAGTTTCATATCCTTTGAAATGGAAGGATAAACTCTTTACTTGGGGTGGAGGGGAATTCCACTAAAATCTGAGAACTGGACCACATTTAGGCTTAGTATTCAGACTTTTTTTTTGGGGGGTAGCCTTTTCGTTTCCTCCTTTAGCTATTTTTATAGCTACTCTATAACCGAGATATACCATTATTTTGCTCCTTCTAAATTTTTTTAAAGTATTTAGAAACTATATGGAAAGATTGTAAAAATTATTTAAAATTAATTTAAAATTTACTTTAACATCTTTTTGAGTCTTCCTAACAACAAAGAAAGCTGACTGGAAAGAAATTGATTCATGTTAAATTTGTTACTGGAGGAGAGTTTTACAGATGCCATGGAACACAAGAGAGAGAAATAACTGGGTTGCAGATCAAATCAAGTCTGAAATATCACTAGAAGCCACAGTAACTACATGAAGGCTGCTATATTGTTGGCATATTATGAGCAGACAAGATTTGCTCTAAAAGGCAATCGTGTAAAGAAAAACTGAAGATAGTGTAAACAATGGAAGACCTAATGTGGGGCGGATTGACTCTGTAAAGAGAAGCCAAGGCCCTTAGTCTGCAAGAGTAGGGCTCTTAATGACAGGACTTTTAGGTGGTGGTTAATTCACAAGGTTGCCATAAATTAGAAATGACTCAGTGGCACTTAACACACATGCAAGAACCATGACTTGAAAAATAACCTTTTTAAGTTCCATGCAAATGAATTGAGAGTATATATTTCTGTTTATAACTTTGTGAAAACCTAGATAACTGCTGCTTTGGACTCTGTCTTTCATCACCACCGGTCTTGGCTATGGTGGAGGTTATGATCTTTGCAGATTCTAGATGAAAGTGCTTAGATCTGCCATATTTGTCCTTTTGACAGAATGGGTTGGTTTCCTCTTCACTACCCTTTTATTGATTATGTGGCAATATGGAGCAGATAAAGACTGGACTAGCTACTAAGAAGAACTATCCATTGTAACATTTTCCTGTTACAAAGCTGGCTGACAAACTTTCAAAGATGCTGAAGCAGGTTATGAATCCATAATATCTGTTGGTTGTTGTGGGTTTTTCAGGCTCACAAGCCTTGCGAATTCATAATATCTGTGTTTATTTTTTACAGTTATCTTCTTATTTCTGAAAAACTGGAAGAAATCAAATCTTTTCAGGGTCTGATATGCTTGGATTTGTCCTGTTGTAAACTTGGAGACGGTCATGATCTGCTACAACACACCACAAGTGAAACACTATCAAGGTAGCAGTTGTGTGGAGTGAGGTCTGCATGGGGTAGGGAATAGAAGCAATCAGCATTCCCTCATTTTAAATAGTTACTCAAACAATTGGGGCAATTCAAATCAGTCACAACTTCACCTGTGGAATGTCTGCCATTCAGTGAATCTTGTTTCTTGTATACACATTACAGCTAACTTGAGGTTTTACAGCTGTGCACGTAGTCTTTGCAAAAATCCACCTGCTCCTGAATGCCCAAGGGCTCTTGAGCATTGCATTAACCCTCATTCTAAAGGTTAATGTTGCAGATGCTTTCCAAACTGCATGTTGTATTTCACTGTGGGTAGCTATAAACAAATGGCATTCCTTTTTTCTTTTAAGACTTATGAGGGCATATTTAATGTCAGTGAAAAAACAGGAGGACACACTGAATGCTATTTCTGCTCAACATTTCCCATCTTCCAAATCCCCTCAGCTCCATTGTAAATACAGATAAACAATTTCCTAGGCCAGAGAGCTTGTTTAGTTAATTTCAAATTGCAGTAGAGCATGGAGGGAATTGTACAGGTGTCTCCCCAGAGGTATGAAAATGCTTTATTCATGTATTCACACCAGGAGCAGACATATTCATCCGTGTACTCTTGTTATGCTTGGTAGAAACATTCACTTGCATACGAATGATGATGTGTACGATCACGAGATGAAATTATGATTTAATTTGTGTATTTAAGTATCATATTATTACATTATCACATGAAATGGCCACTAGTACAGTATTGATTTTGAAATCTTGTCAGACTGTTGCTTTGCATTTAATCAGTCCTTAGGATCAGTGTTTTACAAATGCAGTCCCAAAGTAGATCCTACATAGATGTTTTTGGCAGCTGGATGCCCCTAAGATAATTAGTGCAGAGTGAAAGTACTCTTCTTTTCCCAAAGTTATTTCTGCATTATAGTGAACGTGGAGATGGTGGCATCTCTTGTGTCATGCCTGTTGAAAGAAGGCCACTTCTCTCCCTAGTTGTCAAGTGTGTAAAGTGATGAGAGGACCCAGCCTTCCCATTTCTACTGTGGTTTAGAAACATTTATAAGGACACTCTTGGTATTTATGGTGTCTTCAAGGTCTGGTGCCAAAGTCAAAAGATGTACCCAGACTCCCTTCTGAATTATTTTTGTGTTTTGAAGGTTTGAGGAGAGGATAGAATCAATAGTGAACAAAATAGGCCAAAATATGTAGACTGGCTTAACACAAATTGAAATATAATACCTCCGTATCATAGAATAAAGTCCCTTACTTGCTTTGTAGACAACTAGTAGCAGTTAACTATTGATATATTTCTTATAGCTTCTTCTCATAATTTTGATAATATAATTTAAAACAGTTAAATTAAAAATTCCCATTAGAGCATAGTGTTGCTTTCATCTGGTATACTGGTTTCTTAATATTTGGCTGAAATTTGAAGGGTGAACTGCATTGCAATATAATATGTTAGTAAGCTAAGCAACTATATTTATTATACGCAGATTTCATTTAGTTGAGCTTGAAATGTTGCAACACATTTAATGGATCTGAATTTCCATCCTTGTTTCCAATGAAGTGTTCTTTGGTAAATTTGACAATACTTACAAATTTTGTGACTGCTTCGAAATTAGGCAAGGGAGTGGAAAATACTTGGTGATGCCTTTTATGAAAAGTTTCTCTTTAACAACTGTAAAAATGACCTCAAATATCTATATAAAATGGTAACTTATTCATTTACCTTAGTTTAACACGGCTCCTCCTGAAAGATAACTGCTTATCAGATGCTGGTCTTCGCAAAATGACAGCACCTGTTCGAGTTATGAAAAGGGGCCTTGAAAATCTCACAGTATTAGATTTGTCTTGTAAGTATGATTTCAGTTTAGAATTTATATATTTTTTTCTAATGCAACTTTAATCTTAAGTCAGTATTTCAAAAAAGCTATATGACCCATCATTAGGTGTTTACAGAGAGAAGGAAAAACTGGCATTCAGTATAGATGCTTAGAAAATCTGTTGTATTGTGGACATAAGACATCATTTAAATATGCTATGTATTCTGTAGCCAAAGCAGTCATTTTTATGTTGTTCAATTGAATACAGAAACCAGATATTCGTTGCATTTGGACATTCTGCTAAACTGTAATGTACCGTGAATGAGCCCCAGCAAGCTTGAGGTGCACCTGAATGTAGAAGGGTGCACCCTTCCTACTAAGAAATTTGAAACTATGGGTCTGCGGTGTTCGATAATTTCAGGTGCAATATCATTGTGTTCTATCAGAATTTAGTTTTCATAAATGTATACCTAACTCTATAACTCCAAACCTGACATCTTGACATTTACATTGATTTTCCAGGCTTAATAATTACAACTTCCTTTATTTAGTCTTCATTTTAGCGTCTACTGAAGTGTCTTTCTTTCAGTGTGTGCTTTGTTAAAATCATGTACACGTATTAACATATTCCCCTTTTTAATAGGAAAACACTGGATTTATCAAACCTTCTCTAATAAAGTAAATGGAAATTTCTTCTAAGGCAACTTCAGCTCCTCATCTTTGCTATGGATAGTTTCTTCCCCAGCATGATATATATCTTTCTGTCACTTGGTTCTCTCTTCTTTGGTCTTCTTTGTGCTGTTTAACTATTACAGAAACACTGAGCAGCAGTTCTATACTTCAGATTTTCTTCTTGCTTAATTATTTCTAGGACAGCATGTCCCCATTGCAAGATTATCTGGGGGGAAACTATTAACATTAAAAATTAAAAATATTAATGCAATATTCTTTTGCTATAGATAATCCAGGAATCACCAATATGGGACTTAGATACCTGCTTTGTTTCAAAAAACTGAACTATTTGGATGTTTCTGGGACTGATATCAAGGTGAAAAAAGTTTCTGCTAATTTGACAATACTCACAAATTTTATACAAGACGGGTACAAAATATAGTTAATTTCTTTTGCGTGGGAAGTTGGACTAAAAGAAAGACAGGTTTTATCTTTCTTTGAAGGCAGACATTGGTTGGCAGTGAATACTACAGAATCTGTTTTGGCTTCTCTTTTTCACTAGAACACAAAGGCAGCCATTTGTGAGATCCAGACACAAATGGGTCTGATTCATTCAGAGGTACCTTTGAAAGAATTTGATCATAATTCGTGCAAAACACAGGGATGGGCAGAGCAGGTATGTCTTCATTAACATTTTCAAGACCTTGTTGTCTTCATATAGTGTTGTCCACATGATAAAAATGTTTGCTTCAAGATATTTCTTTTAAAAAACGATGAGAAATTCAAACAGCCCAAAGATTAGAGTCACAATTCATGAATATTCGGTTAATGTTTAAGGTTTGTATTTGCTTCTTAACAAAATCTTACATTTGGCTTAAAGAGAAAGGTGGAGTAAAAATATTATTTAGAAACCTCACTTTAAAATTGTTATAGAAGCCTCAAGTATTCAAACAGCAATATCACTTGGCAGTGGATATAAGCCGTAGATGCTTGTTCTCAACAGATTGTTTTGCAAATCGTCATCTTATAAACAGGATGTATATACAACTCTATACTCTCACAGCAGTTGTAAGTTATTGTATAGGAAAATGATTTGATATCCACAAGATGTCATCTTTTAAAGTGCTTTCCATACTAGTTTTCTGAAGATGATTGCTACACTTTTTTTTCCAGATTATCTTACAATGGGAACAGGAAGTCCTGGAAAAAAATAAGCCAGAAAAAATAATAAAATCTAGAACAGCAGCTGAACACTTCTGTAAGTAACTAAACGAGGATATTCCTTTGTAAGCCCAAACCTTCTTGATTGTTTCTGGGAAAGGTATTGGAGCCAGGTTTTGCTCACCAGAACTATGAGGCAAAGGGTCTGTTTAAACATGCTTGGAACTTGAGTGCAAATAGAACTTTCTTTATATCCTTCTTCACTCATAGCAGACCCAGGAGGTGAAGAGGCAGGTGGCTTTCAACGTTGAACAGTTTGACTTCGGTGACGGGAGCAAATAGTTGGAAAGCAAGAAAATAGCACTTTCTCTGTGCTTTTAAACAGCTTATTTAGATCCAAGCCTGAGATATAAACAGAGGCCTTAGCAATTCAATGGAAACAAGTCATGATGGAACTGAACAAATAGCTCAAGAGATCATCAAGCTTTGTTAGTTAATAACAGATCGGGGTGCACATCTTATGATTCCCTAAAATCTTCAGTGGAGTCCCTCTTTGTGCCCTGCCCACCTGTCCCCACTAGCTACTTTTTGTACAAATCACTGATGAGGAGGAATGAAGTGAAGTTAAGATGTTCCATTCCCTCTCTGTGATTGGGTTCTTGAAAAACTACTGGCATTTCCATGTTTTGTGCGGGAAAATGACACAGAGGCTCATTCAAAACGTTAACTGGTTTATTGAACTTGGATTCAGGAGAATCTATGACAACCTTTGTTAGATCTAAGTAATTTAACTCCGGCAAACAGCCGTTCAAGTCTGTGATCAAGTCCTGAGGTCTCCTGTCTCTCAGTATTGGGGAACTGGACCAAATCCCTCCTTGTCCAATGATTTCCTTAAGGGAGCATTCTGAACTGCCCAAATCGTGCCACAGCACGGATGGCGTGCCCGGTCTCCCTGGGGCGGGTGGCCATGTCCTTTCGGGAACACAACCACCGTCCATTCCGTTGTCTCAGTAATAGTCACCCTGTCCTTTTTCGTAGCAATAGAGTCTGGAAACAGGTATCCTACTTTAAGGTTTGGGAAATCATCTATCAGCTCATGCATACGTTTATAGTCTTTCTCCTCTTTCTCGTTTCTCTGCCACCTTAGCACACTAAAAACTCTCTCCCCATTTCCTCTTTTATCTCCTCCTCCCATACATCAAACTTTAACTCCTCCTCCTTTTCTTTCCCTTCCTCCACTAGACAAATCTCTTTTAACCCTTTCATCTTTAGTCATACTCTTCCCCATCTCTTTTACCCTCTCTTTTGATTCTATTAATACATTTTCCTTCACTGGAGGAGACGGCGCACTATCCTCTTTCAGATCTTCATACTCTCCTGGACACCTTCAAGCAGATTGTTGTTCAAGCAGTTGGGGAGGGCAGTCAAGAATGAAAAATGAACTGTCCATTCTTTTCTGCAGTGGATCACCAGTGCATTGTGTATGTGTGCTTGCATATGCCGTGACTCATAGGTGGCTGGCAGGTCCAAAGACATTAGACAGCCTTCTCCTAGATCATTTTAGTGCAAGGACTTATGTTTTTGAGTACTGCTGGCATACAGCAGAGTGCTCCATTGAATCTTGTTTCTGCACATTATCTGTTCCTTTCCTTAGAAGTGGCATGGAATGCCCTCTAAAGTTTCAGTGTAAAATGGGCATAGGCAATTTGTGGTCCTAGGGTGACTTATGACCGCAGTTAGAGCTCATGTATTCCATAGCTGCATTTCAGAAGCCTTGTGGAAACAAATAATTTCAAGACTTTACAAGAGTAATCAGTTTCTTTCCCAGCTCTCTACTGGGTGTGGAGGGAAGGAGTGAAAAAGAACAAAAAAGATAAATTGGTTTATCTACTCACTTGTTTTCAAGGCAAGTGAGATATTTAAGGAGTTCTACTCCTCCAGTGAGTGTCCATGGCTGAGTAGGGATTTGAACCAGGTCTCCAGAGCCTAGTTCGTCACTCTGTCCACAACACCACACTACTTTTTTACTTATCTCCCATTAGTTCAGCCCCACCAATTGGCCACACGCACGCACACACACACACACATTGTACCACATAGGGAGCATAGGCCTTGCCAGATTTAGGTCAAATTGGAAATTCTAGGTCAAATTAGCAATTCTTTGAAGACATCTAAGGGTTCAAAGTATTTAGCTCTGACACTATGCATGGCTTTTAAGTGTTCTGTTTCTTATTGCTGTTAGCCAAGATTTCACAAGACAATATTAAGCTGTATTAAACTATGAAACTACTTCATGAAATTTCTTTTGCAGATGGAAAAAGACGAAGACCAGAAACACCTTTTGAATCTCGACTAGGAGAGAAGGAAAGAGACACTTCTGAGAACTTACAGTTCTACAAGGGAAGTGCAAAGATGTCAGACTTCCCTTTGCAAAATATGAAAACTGAGATGACTGAAGAATTTCTGAATAAAAAGAGGGCTGCAGTTGAGAAGAAAGAAAAGAGATCTCAATCAAAGAATTCTAGCTTCTCAGTAGCAGACTGGGACTTGCTAAATTCATATTGAATTCTATTAATAAAACATATTTGGTGCAAAAAGAATAAAATAATAACATTTCTACTAAAGTAACATAATACTTTTTCTACCTCAGGTGAAAATGGTGAAAAGCAATGCTACAGTTGGTGTCTGAATTCAATACCATTGCTTTTTTTTTATCAATAAGTGGTTGTCTGACCAGATAGACGGCTTAAAATACAATAAATAAATAAATAACTTACCATTTTCAGATTAACAACTAATGTGAGATTGATAAACTTTTTTTAAAATGTAGGCTTCCATTGAGAAAACTACATTTGAAATGGTGTTGGATATGATTGTTAAGCATCTCTGTGTCTGGTTTGTATCCATGTAAGTTATTACTGGTCATTTTATGAATCTTGTTCTTTATGCTGTTACTAAAGAACAGGGTGAGACCTGATCGCAAAGAATGACATCCCGAACTATGTATGACTCTAGTGCACTGTAAACTTTATAATGTAAACAAACCCACTTGACATTAGTTCGCCAGTTTGAGCTTTTATATGCTTTAAACATGCAAATGCCAAAGGTACACAAAGCTACACTCCTTATCTTGAAATAATACTACATGAGTAAACTAATATTCAGATATTTTTAAATTTCTTGTTTACTCATGTACAAAGTAGGTACCTTAGGTAAATATGAAAGACTTTCCTTTATTTCTATACATACCTATGCAATAAATGTACTGTAGGTACAGAACATAATTTAAGGGTCCATTCAAAAATAAACCTGCTGTTTGTAATGTGTCACAAAACTTCTGATGACAAAATTGTCATCATTTCTTCAGATTAAAAAAAACCCAAGTCACAAATTCCTCCTGACTATTCCTGTCAGAGTATCACCAATAATTCTAGAATCATAACACTTAACCTGGGAAGCCAATTTTATTAATATTAACATATTACTGTTGTATCCAGAGTTTCCTCTGGCAATCCCAGATGAACATACACAGTAATTTTGTTACGTTCGGTCAGATTGAGAAGGTCATTAAAGAGTTAAATAGCTGAGTGGGGGATTTGCACCAAACTCCTCTTTGCCTTTTTCCACAACCTGGAAAATGCATACTTGAAATGTGTAGATAAATGAGGGACGATTCAGGCTAATTCTGCATTCTAGCACCACAGTGTTGTGGTAGGGTGTTTTTTTTTTTTCAGTTTGAAAGTGCTGTAATCAGTTTGTCAAATATTTATGGTATCAGTTGAAGAACATGTGTTGCTATGCTACTAGAAACCATTACACTTATTTACTGAAGCAGGAGCACTCTCTATTACAGTGTTAAATTATAGCAGTTCTTAAACCAAAGGCTAATGAGCATGACTTCTATCCATCTATCATTAGTGTTACAATAATTGGATCATACGCTGTGAAGTGACAAATTCTTACTTAGACAACCAATATCTTGTAAATGGTTACTACACCATCTATACTGAATACCTCTTTTCAACAAGCGGAAAGGAGGTAATTCCACTGACTCCAATACTTTGTATTGGTATGAATCTGGTTATTGGACATAGCATCTGAATTTGGGTAGTAGGTTGCAACTAGAATAGACTAATTGATTCCATAGAATTTGTAGAGGTGTTGACTCATTAAATCACCACTGATTCAATAGGCCTACTCTAGTTGCAACTTACCATATTTTTCTGTTTATAAGATGCCCCCATTTATAAGAACCCCCCAATTTTCTAACCCCCAAATTAAAACTTATCTTTGAGGATTCAGCCTCTGAGCTCAGAACATCGGACATTTTGTGTCTGTTGAATCTTGAGCCTACAGTCTCCACCTCCAAGGAGGTGTATTCCAATTGGTTTGTTCAGGATCAGCTGACGTCAGTTCCGTAAGGCTTGTGACTGGAGGAAGCTAAATGTCCTGACTGTAGGAAACTCAGCCTCGTGGCTGAAGGGAGTCTGTTTAGAGAAGCAAGGTGTATGCCGTTTTGTTCTCTCTTCAGCTGTCTCAGCTTCTGTGCAAAAGAGGCCCCTTAATTTTTAGGGTAATGATTTTAGGAAAATATAGTGTCTTATAGGCAGAAAAATACAATACTTTTGGATTTCAGCCAACATCTTAAAGGTCTCTGAAGTACTTATTTGTTTGTTTGTTTGTTTGTTTGTTTGTTAATTAATTAATTAATTAATTAGATTTCTATCCCACCCTTTTAGACAAAGTCTACTCCGGGTGGGTTCCATCAAACATTGTAAACTAAAACAATTTAAAAAACAATTCAATGCATGCTTACTGTTACATAAAAGTATGTAACTCACAAGCCTCTCTCAGTTCAGATAGATTGGTTGGCATTATGTTATAACTATAAGAGACAGAATACAATCCTGCCTTACATTATTAATTCAGTGCTAATAATTGCAAATTAAACCAAGTAAATTGAAAGTAATATTTGTAACTAATCTGAGAGGAAATAATCTGGTGAGTTTAATATAAAACAAGAAGTAACTGAGATGGGTACAGTGGCTATCCAGTGACAGTACTAAGCAGACATTGGCTCTGATGGAACTCGACACCCAATATCTATAGACTGCTCAGAAAAGTAGGAAGTATATTTAGCAAGGAGACTAGATAGCAGGATATTACTGACTTCACATTTAGGCATAAATACTGCAGGTATTGGTACAACAGCCACCCAGCATTCACTTTAGTCTATATGTGCATGAGAGGTTTTGGTGTAACTATTGTCCTCCTAATTTTAGTTTCATTTAAGATAGTATGAAACCAGAGTTTAACAGCATTTTTATAAATTAGTGTGTTCATCAAATTGCATGGAAATAAAATCCTGTTTTACCACCAAGTCCTTTCAGTTTAGGGACTCTGCTGCAGGAACTGCTGGATAGCTCAGTGGTTTGGGTATTTGGCTGCAGAGCCAGAGGTTGGGAGTTTGATTCTCCACTGTGCCTCTGACAGGGCCTGGACATCATGATTCATACAGTCCCTTCCAGTTCTGCAGTTCTAAGATGATGATGATCGGTATCAGGACATTGTAAACATGCTCCTGAATTCAAAAGTTGAAGAATAGTTGATCTAAAAACAATACATATAACACGGTATCAAGCATTTTCCACAAGCTTATCTAAAATGAAGAGTGGTTCCACAACAGCAGTAGTTGCTGGATTGCTCCCAGTATCATCTGAAAGGTGTAGAATTCTTAATAGCTCATTTTGTGCAGATATATTCATCAGACCAGTCAAAGCAGTGCTGAATCCCATCTCTGCAAAAACTTCTGGGAATGCAGGCACAGTAACTATATAAGACAACCATCGTGCATCTCCACCACTGAGGCCCACAAGGAGGGCAGCTGGCCCCTGCAATCAAAAGGAAACATTGTTAAATTTATTTGCACAAATTTATATTCTGATTATAGCAGGGGTGGGCAAATTGTAGCCTTAAATAGATGTTGAACTGGAACATTTATGCCCTAGCCAATACAGAGGATGGCTGGAAATCGCAAACCAACATCAGGAGGGCTGCACTTTGCCTACCCCGTGGTAGTGGGTGACTTTTCAAAACAGGAGAGAGTGTGTGTATATTGATTTTTGATTTTGATTTGTGTTACTTCTCATTTTGGTATATATGAAAGTATATATTTCTTAAGAAGAATTTGTGGGGCTATCCTGGCTAAATGTTCTAAGCCCAAAGCGCTGGGCAGTTGCTACTCCTCCTTGGGGTCAACAAGATCAGTACCTACCTTCCCTCAGAGCCAAATCAGCCCTGCAAAGAATTGTACACCACTGCATAGTGGTCTAAAGAGTCCAGACTGGATTTAGGACCAAATGTCTCCTCACTACACTACCAGTGAACATGCAGAATGTGAAGACATTTTCATTTTATTAAAAGGATAGGAAAAACAAATAAAAGCACTTCTGAAGAAATAATCCAATAAGTTTAGAGGAGTTTATAAACTACGCCACGGGAAAAATAGCAAAGTTGTGCTAGTTGGTACTGTTAAAACACGATGACCTCTGTAGCACTGCACCTTTTGTATTTATCTATTGTTTTATACAGTATTAAACTTCAGCAACAATGACAGACAATCTCAACCCAGTTTTCTCAGAACTTTCTACAGTGAATGACTACGCATGTCCCCTCAAGAAGGGATCTAACTGACACTAATTGGAAATCAGCCTATCTCTGATAGGCTGGTCAAACAGATCTGGACACAGCTTAATTCCTATATAACACAGGTGCTTTCGTATGGGAACCTATATTAAATATGAAAAAAATGGTGTAATTAAAATGTCAGTAGAAAGAGAAACATACAGGGTTACCAGTCCATTGTATCTCACAAGTATTATAAAATTATAAAAATACAGCTTTGTGATAAACAGACTTACAGGTCCCTGTTTCATCAGAACAGTCTCCACAGTCATTGAACCCGTTGCATCTTTTGTCTGCAGAGATCCACAATCTGGGGTTGCTGCAGTGAAATATCAAGTATTCCGGAAGGTTGTTGGGCAAGTCACCTACCAAAATAAATCACACACAAGATCATTGTATGTAAAATGTATTGAGAAAAAGTGACAATAGGTTAAAAATGGTGATAAGTGTTTAAGTTACAAAGATTACAGAAGCTCCAGAAATATTCTAGATAATGTGAAGGAACTGTTCCTATTCTTATTCTACAGCTGAAAAATGAAAGGCATCCAAAGTAATTAAAATGTTATTTTGTAACAACAAACAAGCCGCCTAGAGTGGTCCTCATCGACCAGATAGGCAGGGTATAAATTAAATAAATAAATAATAATAATAAATCTCTTCAGCTAATATATTTTAAATGACTTTCATTTCTTTTTCACTTGCAGGGTAAGATTATCAACTTGCACAGCTATGCAGCAGCTACAATTTCTACTGACAGAAAATATAAGAACAATCTATTCCAACACAGTTGTTCTGTTGTGTTATGTTCTTAGCTATGCAAACAACCATTTGCTCATGCATTTGTTGATGTGAAACATAGACACATGAGCTTATCCTAACCTTCTGTTTTTCATATCAGCAATCATGTTATAATATATAACATTCCTGAAGCATGATGGGGGCAGTTGAGATAAGCTAAGATTCTTACGACATAGTGTCTCCTGCTCATCTTCTCCATTTGCACAGTTTCTTCTTGTGTCACAAACCTGGCTGGCTGAAATGCACGTTTCTCTGTTGTCACATAAAAAACCTGTCTGATTACTGGTAGTTACACATAATCGATTAACTGGGGAAAAAAAGAAAAGATTAAATATTGTAGCTACTGACACAAAAATCATCAATCCAGATAATTCTCATTGCACAGCAATATATTCAGATTTATTTGACTATGCAGCAACACATTCAAATAATTCCATTTAAGTCCCACAGTCAATCTTCAAACATATTAGCAATTTTCTACAAATATATTAGCAATTAATCCTAAATGTTTATATTTTAGCTTATGATTAATTTCACAATGTTGAGATATTGTCTTCAAACCTCTGGGAAGTAAAGTGACTCAGAGGGCTTCACAGGTAAGGAATCTGCACATACAAGCTTAGCCATGAGTCCCCCTATCCCAGAGCTGAAGCCTACACATAGGCAGAGGAGAGTAGCTTCTTTATGTAGCTGGTTCTGAATCTAATGAAATGGAAGCAAATATATACCAATAGTGAAACAATAATAATTTCATAATTGTTGCTTGTGGGTCACTCAATGACTTCTCAAGTTTTAAAAATAAGTTTTCTATCCATGTTTATAATGCAGCGTGATACTGTATAGGAGTGTATATGCATGCAGTAGTTCAGTGCTTTATCTCAGTTGGCAGATTGCTCCTGATCCTGCCCTTTGATATTACGGAAAGTAGTAACTATTTATAATCTAATAAAGAATATGCGCTCAGACTTCAGAACCATCCACTAGTAAATCAAACTGTGGGTGCTTGATCAAATCTATCCTGAACTCTTTCCACATTATTATTTGGTGCAAGACTATTATTTGGACAATCTAAATTTGAAAAATAATTATGATCTGTCATAATGTATGTTTTATGTCCTGTTCAGGAATTCAACTCTGTAAAGCTTATACATTTAAACATAGAGGGGACATATGTAGCAACCCCTGCTATCCCTTCTATCCCTGATCCATTTATGTTGAGAAGGAAGGTCTAAAGGGAGACTTTTACCTCATTCTGCTAAATTTGCAGTAATCTCCTTTCAGAATGTTCCATTCAATGAAAGAAACTGCCACCCCCCCTCTACACTTACAATGCTGAAAGTCTGCAGAATGTGTATAATATAAATATGATCTTCAGTAACACTATTTTGAAAGAACAAATCCTGCAATGTTTTTCCCAAGAACATCAAGATTAAATTGACTATTAATTGCAACAGGTCATTTGTCTTATCTGGGGCCTTAAATGCACACAAACCTGCCATGAAAGGTGGTGTTATGGATTCCATTGCATAAGGATGGTAAAATCCACTCAGGTGATTGGTACCTGAGTGAGTAGACTGGCCAATTCTTTCTTTTTAATTTACTATAATCATGCTGAGAAATGGTGCTGGATTGGACATTTTCTCCATTTGCCGGTAACCATGACAACATTGGTTGGAGGGGATTGGAATACTGCACGGCTGCCTGTGGAATGTACAATGGAAGTGTGTGTTTGTGTGAGGAGGTGGGGTATGCAAATATAAGTATCTTATGTTACAGATAACTTCCAGGTAGCAAAATATAACATAAAAATGAATGGTAGCAGGATGGTGGTTTCAATGGTGCGGTTATCATCTGGTGGTTACCAGTGCAACATCAGAAATCACTCTTAAGAAAGGTTAACATCAAATTCATTTGTGTCAGTGGAACTGAGGATGAGGGAATGTACTACAGTACACTCCAGTATATCTACAAAATCTTCTCCAGAATGCTGCAAAATCTTTCCAAACTGGTTTTCAGGCAGTTCTTGGGGGGACGGTTTGCAGGGGGAGGAAAGGAAAGTCCTCTTACCCTAGCTGCCTGCTGAGGTTAGTCTCAGATTCCTGCTCCCTCCCTAGCCTTCATATTTCGAAAAGCACTTTCAAGATATGATATATATAAACCATTGTGGCAGTTACTTCAGTGGGAAATAATTCAAGTCTATATTTCAGCAAAGACTGACCTGGTGTAGGTGGGGGGATACCAACTGTGACAATTATTGCAATGACCGCAGCGATGATACCAAGTATAATAAGAGCAATGGCAGATACACAGACACATTGTCGAGTGCAAGGGACACACAGAGGACCTGTCACAAAGAGAAGAATTAAAAGACTAATTAAACTGGAACCTCACATTAATCTTACAATAAAATCCACAAGCAAAATACTGGCTTTTGTCAGGTTCCCCCAATTAATCCTCACTTTTTTAAAAATGGGAAAAATTTGTTGGAATGTTAAATTCCACCATAGTTTTTTTTCCCGTATAGCTGTAGCAAATAATCATGTGCAAAATTTCAGCTTCTGACACATTTATCACCTCATCTGCTACATTTCAAGCTGAAAACAAAGCTGGAACAGCTACATTACATGTCAATATCTGCATTTGTTCTCATATTTAAAAATGTGTTAAATCTAAACTGTACAGAAGCTCCTTGTTGACTTAATAATTGAGAAAAGCTAATTTTAGCACAGCTAAGGTGTATTTTTGGAAGTGGTATCTAATGCAATATGTATTTAAAAAAACTAAATTGCATAGCAGAAGTATATATGCATAAGAAGATATGTTTAGACTACTGGCCTAATTAGTAATATGTTCCCTGTTCTGGCACTGGCTCTCCAAATTGCCTTCAAGACATATTTCATGAACTGACCTGAGATAACTTTTAAATGAAGGTATTAAATTTGGGGTCTTCCACATGCAAAGCATGTGCTCTATCACTGAGCTCAGGGAACTCTACTATTAAATGAGCACAGAAAAGATAAAATGGAGGCCAATAGATAAGACACTAAGCCCAAGAACGTAAACATTATTCCTCATATTATTCCTCATATTTCTGTTTTTCCTTTATCCTATACTACAGGAAAGTATGTTTCTTTCATAAATCCAGTCAGACTAGTTTAGGAGAGAATCAGTTAATTGCAGAATTGTTTGACTTCCTTCATTCTCACAGCTGTTTTGATGTGGTAAAAGCAGGTCACTTACTCCTTGAAGGCTCTTTTGATGTGTCAAACGCTTAGTGGTAAAAGCAGGTCACTTACTCCTTGAATGGTCATCTGTAAAACCACACTAACAGGGTTGTTCTGTGACTTGTGTGTTTTGTTGATTATCTATATGCTTGAATGGATGAGGTGTTTGATATTCTTTGTCTTTCAGATGGTGATCTGCTGGAAAAATATTGGTAGTATCTGTCATAAAAAGGTCTGTATTGTGGTTAGTAAAAACTAGAAGTTGAGAAACCTATTCACTTAGCTGTGACTCTTTTTTTTGAGACTGGGGAGTTGGATGGTGCACTGTGATCACTGAGGTGCTTAAAATGGAACTGAGAAGTAACCATTGGGTGGAGGAGCATGCGCTAAGTGATAAGATGGGGCTAACAGCTTTCTAGGCTCTGGAAGATGCTGAGGATATCTACGCAGGCATGCAGCAGCCCCATTAGTGTGAATCGCTGAGATCATGAAGAACTATAACTGCCATTGTTTCATGATACATGTTCAAATTAGCTGTGACTATGTTGAAGTACTGCAACACATTACCTCCAAAGTTTTTGTACATAACTGTATGGAAGATGGAAGATAGATGAGGAAAATAGAGGGGACTGACAGAGCTTTTGCAATTTGAAGGCTCGTAAGATGGGATATTTTGCCACTGCCCTCCTGCCTTGTTCCAAATGGGACACAGGTATATGCGCTGACTTGTTCCCCTCATTTCTGTCTTTTTCTTTTTCTGTGCAAAGCTTTTCCACAGAGCCAGTTGGCCATAACACCAGTAGGATAGGAAGGAGACAGGTGCCGAGGGTTTTAAAACCATCTCACATACAAAGGTGACCTCTTTCCTTTTCTAGTTCAGCTTTCTCTGAGATGTGTCTCCTTGTTTGAAGTGCTGGAAAAGCACAGTGATATTTGGAGACTTCATCTTGGACCATGAATCTGACAATCCTAAAACTGATTGAAAAAATTAAAATCAGGAATGAAAAAACGCTTTCTATTTTCCACTCCCTTTCCATATTTGTCTATTCCAAGTCTGTGAGGAGGTGTTTTTTTTGCTTCATCTCACATTTCAATTGCTGCGCTTGAAATATAATTATCATATTGAATTAAACAAATATACCTGTCTATCTTCCAAATATGAGAATATACATTTTTAACCATGGATTCCTACTTGTGGAATGTGGTGTTTAAACCCTTTTCTGTCTGTAACAAAATATACACTGCTAGAAACTAAACAACAATCAAATCTATGTTGTCAAAACCCCAGCTGGCAATTAGTTTATGGCTAATTACATATATTTTAAAAAGCTTTAGAAAAAACAAATTCAATAAATCAATTTGTCTATGTCCAGCACTGTGTCACTCATAAGCTTTTTTTTTAAAGTAGGAAAACTTTAAATTACCTTTTTTAGAACTGAAGACTGAATTTCCCAAACCAAGTGAAGCTGCATCAAAATTCTGTAATAAAAAAGTATGCCCTTAGTGTTGGGAAAGGATACTCTTTTGAAGGCAATGCATCTAACTGGAGTCAGTGTGGTACACTGGCTAGAGTGCTGAACTGGGATCCAGGGGACCTGAGTCCAAATCCTCACTCTACTGTGAAGTTGACTGGATGACCTATGGGGCAATCACATTCTCTTAGTCTGACCCTCCTCAAGCAAGATGCTTACAGAGAGGATAAACTGGAAAAGAATGCAGTCATGTATGTCACGTTGAGCCCACTGGTGGAAAGTTGAAATACAAATGAAATAAATATACAATTACATCTGTTAGTATTTTCCCATCAACTGTATTAAATCAATAGATGTAAGCTGACTTAAATATTATGTCATAAACGTATGTCCATACTTTAAGAAATATATGAATACCACACAGTGAAGATTGAATTAAAATTATTATAATTTCATTTGTATTTTTCCTATTGGTAAAATATACTCTGATGACCTTTCAGCATTCAGGTTGACATTGCCCTGTAGTTTGTTTACAGGAAACAACAAAGGTTGCTATTTAAACCCAAGAATTAATGGTTGAGCAAAATAATTACAGTTTTGTACAGGCATTAATGACATTACCTGAGGCTGAATTCTGTTCATTTCACCCCCATGCAGACCACCGTAGGATTATGCTCACTCATATGTGACAGGAATTGTTCTGACTAAGTGTTCGCTGCTGTGCAAACTATGCTGCTAGATATCAAAAGGGGAACTAGCCCTGCTTTATTAGGAAATCAAACCACTAGGTGCATTCCTTGGGTGGTGTTGCCTGGTTACTAAGAGAAACAGAGTTAAGAAAAAAAAAGAATCATGCTAATCCCATTCACGGATATGAAAATAAGAATCATGAGAGCAGATTTCCCAATTAGCCTATCACAACTTTTAAAGGAATTAGAGATAACATCTCGGTCTCCTCTGGATCTATGTGAACAGGAAGATAAAGGAGAAGAAAGGAGAGAGAGTGAGCCGTCTCCTCATGCATCTACGGAGGAGGAAAAGGATAGCGAAGCGAGAAAGGAAGAGGTAGTGAAAATTATAGAGAAGATGAAAGAGTTAAAGGCAAGAAAATAGGGGAAGGAGTCAGAGAAAAGGAGGAGGAGGGAGATAGATGTCTTCTTGACATCGGAAGAGGGAGAAAGATCGGGGGAAACGAAGAAGGTGGTGATGTGGGATGAACAATGGCTGGAGGTAGAAGGAGAATCCAGAGTGTTTAAGATTCCGCAAAAGGAGACATTAAGTTGTGAAAGTATAGAATGTAAGGAAGCCAGGATTAAAAGAGAAGAAGGAAAAATGATCATGTAAGGACTGGGACCGAGGAATGGATGGTCTTAGTGTACCCTCGAGGATGGGGTCCTTGGAAGAAGGTGATCCGACCGAGACCAGTTCAGCAGAACAAGAAGCCATCCGAAGGGGACTGGAGTTGTCATCCCTGCTGCGGGACGATATGTATAGTGAAGGAGTGGATGCTTGAGAAAGCCAACAGACCAGGAGTGGTTCAGACAATCTTTCCACTAAAGAACAGTTATGAAGAGATGTTGCTCTTGTTGTGGGCTGATTTTCCTGTTAGTATTGAACATGTAGATCCCATTGAGGCACAGTGGACCCTCGACTTACAGATGGCTCGACTTACAGACTTTTCGAGTTACAGACTTCTCTGGCTGCAAAATTTAGGTTCAACTTGCAGCCAGAGAATCGACATACAGACCAGAAAAAAAACCCAAAATGAAACAAAAACGGCCGGTTACGGATTAATTGGTTTTCAATGCATTGTAGGTCAATGGAGACTCGACCTACAGACTTTTCAACCTGCAGCCACAGTTTCAATACGGATTAATTCCGTAAGTAGAAGGTCCACTGTAGTTGTAGAAAAACTGACTGTGAAGTTCACCTCCTTGAAGCACCTACGTTTTGTGCCCTCACAAAGGCTCCAGTCGTATTTTCCTTTCACTGCCACCAGTGGATTCCCTCAATCTACAAAATAAATGACGTTTGATCAGACACTTGTATTGTGACTGCAAACAAAACTTACTTATTAAAGTGAAGCCAATTTATTATTCGCAGACATTCTTCAGATGTCCATACTATTCTCTTGCCATATAATTTCCACCTTCTCTATTTATCTGAACCAGTTTCTAACTCTATTAGTATCTGTTCCTTCTCTCTCTGACTCTGACTAACTTATTGACTCTCTCCTGACTGACTCTCACTGACTCTTTGATTCTGCCCTTCTCTGATTCAGGCTCTGCCTTTTAACCTCTCTTTCAGCTCCGCCTCTCAAGCGTATTAGCATAGTACATGAATAATACATGACTTCTACCTAACAAAGGGTGAATGCTACACCGTCCACTTTTGTTAATACTTTATGCTAGAAAAACCCTCTCTTGTCATTTCCTGCCCAAAACGAGGAACCGTCATCCACTGCCAAACAACCTGATCACAATCTAATACACCCATGATTACAAATGAGTTTCAAAAAAGAAAAAGGAAGCGTTGCATTTAGGCAGGAAAAATCAGATACACACAAACAGGGTGTGTCAAAGCTGTCTTGGAAGTAGTGCATGCAAAAAAGAGTCTGAGTACGACAGCTTAAGAAGGATATCAAGAAGTTGGAACATGTCCAGAGGAGAGCAACCAGAATGGTAAGAAATTTAGAAACCATACTCTGTGAAGAAGTTGAGGCATAAGTTGGCTTTGCCATTTTACAACATAGTGTCTTGACCTTAAAGGTCTTTGGAATCTCGAACAAACAGCACTATTCTTTGTAGAACTTTAAGAAATCAGTTAATAATCCCATGCTCTTATCTTCAAATAAACTTTAAATGTGTCCTCTTTGATTGGTCCTTATAGCCATTGACCTGGATCAGAAAATTTCACTTTGATACTCAAAAGACCTTTAAAGTAGATTCATTTGTACAACTTTTCACACATGGGTGATTAAAGTAGTAACTTCAAATTTTCTGTATGCAAACTTTCATAATCATAAACATGTGCGATTATGTAGAAGTTGTGTCATGGCAACTGGATTTCTTTCTTGATAGGCTGAAACATTTCACTACTCATCCAGGCAGCCTCCAGATAACCACATCTGGATGACTGAGAATCTTCACAGATAGATGTACAATTATGGTTGACTAGGGATAAGATAGAACAAATTAGTATCTACATTATAAAATTTTAGCAGGACAGAACTCATCAGATACCCCAAGATTTAGATCAACCATTATGCACCCGAGGCATTATATCTGTAGATCAGTATTAAGATATGACGCTCTTTGTCATTTTACCGTACAGTATTTTGACTGACAAATGTAAGTTGTGTGACATACTTACCTTTTACAAAATAAAAGGTAATATTTTTGGATATTCTCGTATCCTAGCAAGGGCAGGAGAAAAGTGTAGTCTTGAATAGCATTCATATATTGAAACTGATTACACGGTGCCTAGCCTAGTGCATCTTAGTGAGGCCACAGCATCCCTATACAATCATTGCCATGGTGTACACTTAGAGCCCTTTGGTGGAGGTATTTGCCTGCTCCATGTGCCCCTGAAGTGCAGATGTTCCATGCTAAGGGCCCTCTAACTCTAACCATAAATTTATCACCACTTCAAGCCTTTAAGATTTGCAAATAGCAAGCCTGGGATTGAAGTTACTGCAAGCTTCAAGCCAACTCCTGTAAAAATTCATGTACTTTAAAAACCAAATAACTTCCAGGTACACACTCTCTTTGTCTTCTTAGTGTGCGTGCCAAGTTTTAGATGTTGAGCTTTCATGAGCTTGTAGTTACAGCTGATACTGACACACATATTTTATTACAGATAATCATACAGAAGAGTATCCTATTTATACAGCAGAATTTCTAATACAGTGGTGCCTCGCTTAACGATGTTAACTGGTTCTCAAAAAACATCGCTATGGGAAAACATCTCTAAGCGAAATACCATTTCCCACAGGAATACATTGAAAACCGGTTAATCCGTTCCAATGGGAACGGATTACCGTCCTTAAGCGAAAATCGCCATAGGAAACATCGCTAAGCGAAACAATGTTTCCCCCATTGGAATGCATTGAAGCCTATTCAATGCATTCCAATGGTTTTGCAATGTTCGTTTTCACCATTTTTAAAGTGTCTTAAAATGTTCAAAAACTGTTTTAAATGCTTGGGATCGTCAGTGCACCTTGTAAAACCTTTGCAAACTTAATTTGGCTTTGTTCTGAGTCTTCGTTAATTTTTGGCGAATTTTTTTTCTCCCCCATTGGAATGCATTGAACTGTAGGTTTGACAGCTGTCAAACCTGTAGTTCAATGCATTCCAATGGGGGACAAAAAAATTCACCAGAAATTAACGAAGACTCAGAACAAAGCCAAATTAAGTTTGTAAAGGTTTTACAAGGTGCACTGACGATTCCAAGCATTTAAAACAGTTTTTGAACTTTTTAAGACACTTTAAAAATAGCGAAAACGGACATCGTTAAGCGAAACAGGGGGACCTAAACTGTCATCGCTAAATGAGGCAAGGTCGCAAACATCGCTATGCAAAATTCCCCCATAGGGAACATCGCTAAACGGAGCGCAAGATTGCTCCAAAAACCTCATCGCTAAGCGAATACATCGTTAAACGAGGCAATTGCTAAGCGAGGCACCACTGTACGTTCAAATATTCCATACATCAGAGAATTAGTGCTTTCAATTAACATGATGATACATAGCTTGTCTGAATCACTGTAAAAAGGAGTTACTGGCTGTGCTTGTAGAAAAATCACAACTGAAATTTGGCATACTGGCACAGTTCATGACGTGGTAAAAAGCAATGATGCTTTCTCCCTCTAAAAAAGTAGCATACGAAATGTTAAAACTGGACCTTTCAGATATGGTTTTGTTGTAGAACAGATTTTTGCTCATGTTTGTTACAATAAGAAAAAGCAGCAGTAAGCCTTCAAACTAAAAACTTAAACATACTGTATGTCATTCATTCTCCCTGTGTCCAGTATGACATTTTTCACAGAGGCTGATATATCTCACAATATTAAAAGAGTCAGAATCAAAAAGGAATTTATAATTTAAAACAATCATGGTGAACACTGGCTGAAATCCTGTTTGTAGCATAGGCCCAAAAGTAACTTCCTTTCCGCTCCTCCCTATGAAACAAACCACCACTGCCATGATTCTCAGGGAGGTGAATGCCTTCCAGCTTGGTGTGCGTGCAAGTGTCTTCAAAAGCTACTGCAGTGGTACTTTGAGAGAAACAGACAGAAACATGCACTTGGGCTTATTTAAGGCCAGGATTTAAGTCAACACATAGGATGATAGTTATTATAAAGCAACATCCATAGCATTTACTCTACCCTGCTGTGCTCTACATTGATTGCTTTGAATTTTAAACTGCAGGGTTTTTAAACTGTCCCATAGATTGAACTGTAATGTTGATTGCCTCTCCCTATAAGAAGCAGAATTTTAACCTTTGAAATGAAGATTTACAATACAGAAAATTAGCAACATAACTTGCTTAATGATAGCCTTTGTATGTTACTGAACTGGGTTACCATTTTATGGGATACCCATTTTATTACTACTAGATGACAGAATCAAAGCCTTTATTGTGAACATCTATGCACAGCTACAGTATATGATAACATTTAGAGTACAGTATTCCATTCAAACTTTATTGGCTTGCCATTTTGCCATAGAGTAATAGTAATTATTTTATATACCCTCCTGTAACTTAAAAGCATGATAAGAAAAACCATTATAGTGGACCAAAAATATTTAGTCCAACCCCCCCCTCCCCCGATTTGTACCCATCAGCAAGAAGTCATCAAAAATATTAGGAGTATTTGTTATCATACTGAAAAAAAAATCCAGTTTATAATACATTGTAACACACAACATTACATTTAAATCAAACAAGAGAAGTTGGAACAGGAAAGCTCTCTTTGCAAGTTGTAATTTGTAGACATGTATCAGATAAGACATTAATTAAATAATGAATTTCAGCCTAATAATTTTATTAAATTAATTAGATAAGATTTGTTTTAACAGTTATGATGCAGATAAAGTCAACATAAACAGTAGCTTAGATAATTATTAGTGGGAAACCTGAGTATGATATTATGAAAAAGAGCTACAACAAGCTTTGGACTTAACACATTTTCACTTCCCCTTTCATACCTCAAATGAAAAGACTGAAAACCTGTACTTCAATTTTGAAACTATCAGGTCTCTATAGTAGCTCAATTCATGGAGCTGTGGTTGTTTCAATCATGGTTAGTGCAAACAAGCTATATTCAAGCTGGATTTTGAAATCTTGGTTTCTTTTCATTAAACACAATTTACTGTCCAAGTTTATATGTTACAGGGAACTATCATATATTTACACTGGAAATTAGATACCTTCTATTTCCTCCTTTGGTGAGCAAAATAATATGGGGAGGAGGAAGTGTGCATGCTTCAGACTTGAACTACGTTAATATCAAAAATTGCATATATTATAGCTAAATTTTGTAACAAAATAATACCCAAATTTTACTTGCCAACTTTGATGCCTCTTAGGGAATCAGTTCCCTGGAAACAGAGTCCACCACCCAAAGATAACAAATAGAGATGGGCACTCAGATTGAGGCGGCGGGATATGGAATCCGGGGTGCCTGTATAACATCTGAAAGCCCAATAGGCTGAACCGCCAAACCACAATAAGTGCCTATCTCTAATAATAGGGCAGATATAAAGCAAAAGAACTTAAAGCCAACAATACAATTTTAAACAGCTATGTCAGTACAGAAATGATGCCCAAATAAAGAGAAATGTATTAAAGTTTTATTGCTGACTCACAGTACTCCAATCCCAGAAACATCTGTAATGTTAAAACACAAATATATTCTTACTTGTGGAAAAAAGCCATTTGAAGTGCTACAGGTTTTGCACCAAATTCTATGATACTTTGATCTATCCACAGCTGAAGATAAGTTAAAGGTGTACTTTTCCACAAAAAAATCTTTATAAATTTTTGAAATATGTTCAAAAATACATTTGACAGGCATTCATTGTATGCAAATACCATAAGAGTAATGTAGAGACAAATGATCTTATGATAAAGGGAAAAAAGGAAAGAAAAAAAAAGAAAACAAACAAGTGTAACTACATCCCTACCAGTCTATTGGAAAATATTGGATTCTATGACAGAACAGCCTTCATTGGTTCTGTAACTTTATTTGAATATGAACACTGACATCCCTCAAGTCCCTTAGTCACCAAAGTTAACAGAAATTTTAGAATTAGATGAATGAAGATACTTGTAAAATCTAGATTGCTGACTGAGTCAAGTTAACTTTTGTAGGTAAAGGTCCTGCTTCTTGTTCATCAGTCTTGCATTTAACCACCATGAGTGCTGAAGTAGGATATCGGTTCAGTTTTTGTTCATTCATGTATTCCAAGTCTCCATAAATACTCAGCTTCTGGAATTACAAAGTAAACAGCATCAGATGGGGCTATTTTAAACAATCGCTTTTACTCCTATATACCTGCAATAGCAAAACTGTAAATCTAAGCAGACTTGAGAGTAAGTCTGACTGCACTCAGTGGGAATTATTTCATTATTAAAAACAGATACACAACATTTAGAAATCTGGTAAGAGAAAACCTGGACAAGTTGTCCCCAAATGTCTTAAAAGCACAGTGCTGCAGCAGACAGTAGTAAAAGAGTTCATATTATGCCTAACACTTGGGACATAAATGACATCCCTACTTATTTACATGAACAGGTCTTTCTAATGACATATACAGCACTCCAACGATATTGTTAGATTTTTGTCTAATCTAACAAAACAACAAACAACTGCCTACCTGAGAGACTTCTTCTGAGATTCTACTTTATTTACATTCATATTTGTAGGTTGCTTTCCCATGGAAATGCCTACTTTACCAAAAACATGGACATAGGAAACTGCTAAAAGTATGGAGTAAACAATGACGGTTTCAGTGCTGTACCTTTAAAGTTTACATCACATTGCCTCACCATGCAGGTAAGTCAAATTACTTTTTCCTTCTGCTGAACATGTGAAAACCTATCCTATCAAAGCCTTGTTACCTTCTAAATGAAAAGAGATGCCATCTGAACATTAGGAAGAACTTCCTGATGGTCAGAGCTGTCCAGCAGTGGAATAAGCTGCCTTGAAGGGTGGTGGAGTCTCCTTCTTTGGAGGTTTTTAAGCAGAGGTTGGATGGCCATATGTGGAGAGTACTTTGATGGATGTTCTCGCATGGCAGGGGATTGGACTGGATGGCCTCAGTGGTCTCTTCCAACTCTATGATTCTATTTTCCCAAAAAGATACACCCTAGACTACAAAACACATACTCTATTTGAATTTGATCTCTGATCAGAACTGTCAATTAAGAAATTGGTAGTTGCTTTTGAGGCTAGCTACAAGCAGGTGACACCTCTTACTACTGGAATACCAGTATGTCTATTCAAAGTCTGGAGTTGCTATTTATAAAGACTTAAATTGGAAACAGCAGATTGTACCTCTGTCAAAAGGTTTCCTATTTCTCTCCCCAAAATATAAAATGCTGGACATCAGTGTAGGTAATGCTGAACATTTTAGGGTTAAAGTTACCTCAGATGGAACATACTGCTCCACAGCAGTAGTAACAGTTGCACAACATATCCAGAGCAACACCAATACAGAGAGGAGAAGAGTGGTTGTTAATATCCAGCCGGAATTTCTGGAATGTAAGGAAACAAGATTTCATAAAGAGAAACTTATAGTATATTGACATTATCGTGCCTACAGTTGTTTCTCTACCTGAAAGTACTTTCTGCTTAAAACTATTCATATTAGAAAGGTTTTTTATGCCACCATAGTCTTAACTAGTGCTAGAAAATAAACAGAACTGCATTTCAGCATCTAGCAATCAAGTTACTGCTCCTGCTATATCGTTGTCGTTTAGTCATGTCCGACTCTTCGTGACCCCATGGACCAGAGCATGCCAGGCCCTCCTATCTTCCACTGCCTCCCGGAGTTGTGTCAAATTCATGTTGGTTGCTTCGATGACACTGTCCAACCATCTCATCCTCTGTCTTCCCCTTCTCCTCTTGCCTTCACACTTTCCCAACATCAAGGTCTTTTCCAAGGAGTCTTCTCTTCTCATGAAATGGCCAAAGTACTGGAGCCTCAGCTTCAGGATCTATCCTTCCAGTGAGCACTCAGGGTTGATTTCCTTTAGAATTGATAGGTTTCTTCTCCTTGCAGTCCAGGGGACTCTCAAGAGCCTCCTCCAGCGCCACAGTTCAAAGGCATCAATTCTTCGGCGGTCAGCCTTCTTTATGGTCCAGCTCTCACTTCCATACATCACTACAGGAAAAACCATAGCTTTGACTATTCGGACATTTGTTGGCAAGGTGATGTCTCTGCTTTTTAAGATGCTGTCAAGGTTTGTCATCGCTTTCCTCCCAAGAAGCAGGTGTCTTTTAATTTCGTGGCTGCTGTCTCCATCTGCAGTGATCATGGAGCCCAAGAAAGTAAAATCTGTCACTGCCTCCATATCTTCCCCTTCTATTTCCCAGG